CCTTGTATCGCCTTCAGCAACCAGCTTCTCCCACGTAATCACATCTTCTAGAGTCAGAAGATGTTAAATTCGATCCCTCCCACTTGCAGCTGCCTTTTTATTTTTGTAGCCATTACTTTTGTTCTCCTATCAGCCTCAACTATAAACACAGTTGCTGCGCTCAGCGCGAGAGAGTTTTAGAAACAAGTTAAAGTAACTGTAGCATAACATTTCAATCACCCGAAATGTCCCAAACAGTTGACCTCTGAAGATCTCCAGTTCGACAACATCTGAAGAATTATTCTGTGTGCGTAGGAGGTGAAATAAAGATATGAACCCACTGACTTTTCTTTCCCACGTACACGCTATCATCCCACAGTGTGATAAGTGTAACTGCTTTCAGTGTAAAGTCGTTGAAACACACGAGACATGTACACTAAAGCAGATTCTCTGGCAGGATAATTAGTGGACAAGCTGCCGATGCTCCCACTGTGTGGTCGTGATGGCAACGCTGACAACCCACCTCTGCAGGAGGAGTAGGAGGGGAAGGCTGAAAATAAGGAAAGGAGACAAGGGGGCGGATGAGTAAGAAGAGCAGGGAATGAAAAGGAGCGCGAGGGAGGAAGATTAGGAGGAGCAAGGGTGGGAGAGTCGGTGATGTGGAGAAGATCAGGGAGAAGTCAGTGTGATGTGTGGTGGTGGCGAGAAGACATGCAGCAGGGAAAATGGAGGACGGAAGTGATTATTTCTTTAAAATGCAGAGGAAGATGAGCAAACATGTTTAAAGATGGAAACTACGGGAGCAGCTGTATCAACTCCACCATGCTGGGCTCAGTTTAATCTCTTTACTTTAGGGTTTAAAATCCTGCTGGTTCATCTATTCAAACAACCCACATCATGCTCATTAGTGCAAAAAACAGCAGCAACTCAAAATATACCAAGAGTTTCTGGTCTAGTTCCTATTGCAAATATTTTTCTACGCTTAAAATAAGACAAAACTGACTTATCAGCTAAATATATGAGCTTGTTTTAGGCTAGGAGTGTTACACTCGTTACCTTTTGGGCCAAATCAATACATTCTGGCCAGTTGTGCCAGAATGTATTGATAAAACTTGTTCACAAATTGTTAAAATATCAATCAATTCTTAATGTTAAGTATTGTTGAACATCTTCTTGTGTGTTCTTGTACTAATTTGGAAATGTTTGCTTGTTTACGCTTCTTGGTAAATGCAACCTTTATTACTCTGTATAGATCATGGACTACAATCTAACATCAATTAAGGCTGAGGAAGTTGCTTAGTACGAGTAAAGATTTTGACAATTTTTGACAGAAATCTGCAATAAACTCCCAATTATGTATTAGTGCTAAAGAAGTGCAGGGATTTGTTGATTTTGTGTGAATTTCCACCGTAATTCTAAAAAACCTGGAGGGACTGATTGATATAATTTGGCAGTAAATAGATAAAAACTGCATTGACTTGATTGATAACATAATTTTTAAGCTCACTTAGTGTTTAGTCCAGAATCTAGAAGGCCACATAAAAAGCTATGGCGGGCTGGATTTGGCCCACGGGCCTTGAATTTAACACGTGACAAGTGATTAATATGGATGGAAAAGTTGTTTAATTGGCAGATTATTTCACTTATAAAATGACAAAAGGGTTTTGTTAAAGATGAAAATAATCTGCAAATGGAACAAGTGCCTTTTCTGAAGTTTAAAACAATTATTTATTTAAAACAAGCTCCTATATCTTGCTGAAAACTTACTTATAAGTTAGTTTTATCTTATTTTAACTGGAGTAAGATGTTTGCACTGGAAACTAAAATGACTTGGTGAGATTTGGGTTTTGCAGTGTCTACGATAAATCTCATACTGCGTCCTGGAGGAACATCTCCAGTCTTGTATTCTGGCTTGCATGTTGTTTCTGTTCCAGTTCTGATCCACAAACAGGCTCAAACAAGAGAAGAATGCACTAAGGTGAAGGCGTTCCCCTCGACTTAGACCAATCACTCCAATGTTTGCGATTCAAGTTTGGACAAAATGCAACGTCTTTGTTTGCAGTGTCAGGATGGTGCTTGTTGTGGGTAAAATGTAACTGCAGCTCAGTTTTCTTTCTCTTAGTTCTGATTGTTCATCTCTGATTCTGAATAACATAAATCTGTGACTTGGTCTGTACTTTTCAAGTATTACTTTTCACTTTTTAACTACATGTTGATGAAGTGTGTTTCATCAGTTCAGAGCAGTCCTCACCTCTCGGACCTACAGTAGTGAATAAATCATTTATTGTTTAAGCTTTCAGATGTTTTTAAGTATTTATATTCACAATAAGTCATTGCTCATGCTGTTCTCCACATTTTAAAAGCAGAAAAAGTAGTGAAGCCTTATTCAGGAGGAAAATTATGGATCCAATAGTATGGAAATATTTTTTCATTTATTATCCAAATACCCATTCATCCATTCATAAATTAACTTTAGCATTTTTCAAATTTGTTAATGAAAAAAAAGCTGGGATATTTTGTGTGTGAAAAGTCAAGTTTTTTTATTTATTTAACAGAAGTGCTTATTCTATTTTTAAAAAAGCAATAAACATTACATTTTGTCAAATTTCATCAAGAAAATGTAAATAATAATCAAAGGAAAAAATATAAAACCTCATAAAGATTTGTGAACCTTACTTACGTTTTCTAGATGCATTTCTTGCCCCAAATATTTAAACATTTTCACGTCATATTTGTCACGATGTGCACTAACCCCCTTTTATTTTTATTTTATTATTTTTTTTTATTTTCTTGTGAATGGGGTTCGTCTTAAGTATTGTTGACTTGTTTCTGTATCTGTTCTGGATATGTTATTCTGTACAAAATTATAAATAAAATAACCTTAAAAAAATAGATAAAATTGACATAATATATTGATTAATGTTCCTGTTACTGCTAATCAAAGGCAGGTCAGTTTTTAGCTTTTATTTAGGGGAATAGATTTTGAGAAGTTTGTCCCAGATTAGAGGAAGTTATTTCTATAAATATTTAAACAAATAACCTGTTTATATTGTGCAGTTTGAGCAGAAGCCGGCTCTTCAACACGTTGTGTGATTTGTAATCATTTGATATTTTTTTAGATTCCCTTTGTGTTATTAGGGTTGGGGTAGCCCACAGGTTTCTCTGTCCGGTCACCAGACGTCCTTGCATTTGTTCTGTTGTTGCCCACGCAAAGCTATTTTTAGCTCCAGGATCGTGAGTGTGTGTGTGTGTGTTTAGGTGTTATCGGGTTGCACGGTGTGTAAGTAGACTCCTCTTTGTCCTGTGTGATCATTTTGGAGAGACGTCCACTAAAACTTTCAGCAGGAGGGTCAGATGTGTCGGACAACCTTTTCCACTCGTTTGTTTTTCAACTGGAGTTATTCTTAATTTCAGGAAACCTTCAGATTTGCGAAGGTTTGTGGTGCCAGAAATGAATGTGGAAACACTTTAACTGTGTTGCATATGCAAATGATTCAGTTCACATTCAATTAATTTGGATATAAATTACATTTAGTTCAGTTAAGCTTAAATCACACAGTTAAAAATAAACTATTAATTTCTTTGTGAAATGAGAAGTAGTTATAGTAGATATAAAATTTGTACACAACGTTATTAGATCATAGTAAATAATTTAAAAACGTTTCCTCCTTAAATCTGACATATATTTATTTTATCTTATAAATTATTGTAAATGTATACATTTTGAATTTTAGCTTCATAAATGCAAATTTATTAAGTTTAATAATGTAGGCCAATATTAAACTTGAAAACTGCCCTGACCATAAAATCCTTGAAGTAGATGTGGGAATTTATTTGATCATTTATGATTTATCATTTTAGAAGAATTTTGATTTGTTGTTACAATAAATTCCTACTAATGATGTTTAAAAAACCTTAAAACTGTCCTTATTGTCGGGATAGTTGATAGTTTTACTATTTTCTGCATCATTTGCACAATGAAAGTATTGATAAATACTAATAAATTTTAAAATGCAGTTTCCATGCAGGTTAATGATACAAATCACACTCCTTTCTGTTCTCAGGCAGTGTATTACAAATGGGAATCTTTTTCAAAAGCAGTATTTGTATCTGGGGACTATAATTGATGTTGCACACAACCACAGCCATACTGTTCTCACTTTTATTGGTATGTCGGCCTGTCGTAATAATAAATAAATCAGTTTATTGGACAATAAATTAAAGCAAATGCAATAATTTCCATTTGTATGAGTTACCGTTTTTCTCTTTTCTGTAATCATAGCCCTTAATAATTTGGTTTATCGAGACTTCATTTATTTTATTTGTTATTTCAGTTGTTTTGTTTATTTATTTAGTGTTTTTTATGTTTATTAGAGTTTTAAGTTCATTGATCTTTGAGAATCTGTTCCTCCATTATGATATTACTTGAAATTGGACTCAAAGCAACAATATTATCGATTATTGCAATAATTTGAGACAATTTATCACCCAACTAAATTTATTGTGACATATCGTCATCACATTAGTGCCCCAAAATATTTTGGATAAAACTTTAAGTCCATACTGCTTAAAGTAAAGAAAAAATAAATAAAAATGTTACTAAGAGTCATTTTCAGTTGTCGGTTTATTTAAGAATGTTTTTTCTATATTAGGACAGAAATAACAGCATCAGTTTATCACAGACATTATATTGAACCTGAGCGGGTAAAAAGAGGAAGAGACGTGTGCTGAGTCATCCGACTCTTTTTCTCGTCACCATGAAGTGCTGCTGGCAGTCTCTCTGCCAAGCTGTTCCCAGTCCGCCTCAAACAAATATCTGCAGCTGAGCCGGAAAATTATGAATAAATAATTTACGGACTAAATCACGCTGAAACTGAGTTCTCACAGTTATTCGACTCTGTGACATTATGCAACCGTGACAGTTCACTTCTGCATTGTCATCAGTGCAGCTTTTATTATTATTATCATAAAAATGATGATATTTTAAAGTGTTTTCCTGTGGTTGTCTTTCTTGAATGCAGGAAAGCCATCTCCAGATCAGGCCTCCATTACCTTGGCCCGCCTCAGCCTTCGCTCCCTCCAGCGTCCAACGGACCAAACAAGGATCTACGAACCTGCGTGGACTGGACGGTCAGACACTCAGCATCACAAATCTGCTCAGCGACATGCATTTATTCTGTTAATCGTGCAAAAAGCTTGTCTAGGTTTAAGTTTCTTCTTTGAGTCACTGCCTGACATTTACAATCTCAATTTATCGGCATATGTTTCTGTGGAGACAAAAAAATCAGCGGCTTCTCTCCTCTTCTTTATTAATAATGTAGGACGATGTGTTAGCAGCGTGGGAGAGAAAGTTTTACGTGTCTCAAGATATGACTTTTCCCGCATCTGTTTCTTCCAGAGTTTAATGGATTTTATTTACAAAACATGAATCACGACGCTGCAAAGCTGCTTTAAAACAAAAAAATGTCAAGAGGCAAAGGAAAGCACTTGAAACACAACGCATTAAACCGTCCAAAGGTTAACAAAAAGTTTGAGCTGGTCCTTTTAGTTGGCTTTCACTTTCTGCAAAGACGACGCTCTAAAATCTGAAGTGTGTGGTTCTCCAGGACCATCACAAGATTTTCTCATATTATAATTTAAATCTGTTAAATCTGGTCTGAAATCATATTTTCTATAATTAATTTCAAAGAAATGTTGAATCTACCCTGATGTTTATTCACTGTAAAACATTTGAAGGTGGTTTAACTTGAAAAAGCAATTTAAGTCAACAAGACAATGGTTTTGGTTTTAACTCAGAAATAAGAGTTTATGAAGTTAAGTTAACAACAAGAGACAAGTTGCAGTGAATAATTGAGCTCTTAAGGCATTATATATTATTAATGAACTGTCAATACAAACTGGTTTATTATTGATGAGAATGTGTAAACTGTTATGGGCTCACATGGAGCGTCCTGCAGAGACACTTCAGCACATCCTCACAAACCTTTAAATCCTAGCATGATGCACACGCACACATACACACACACATGCACAAACACACACACAAAGTTACATAACTATACATACATATATAATTACCTTTAATTTGATCAATGAAACTGATCGAACAGCTTTATAGGGCATGACTTTCAAAGGTGAAGAATTGGTCAAATTTTATTTTCTTGGAAACAAATTGGGGAAAAAAATTAAATAAAGAGAAAAAAATCAGCTCTTATATGGAGTGGATGTAAAATTAACCAATTTATTGGGTAAAAAAAAAATTGGCATATTTTTAATATTTTCATTTTAGCCTTTTTATACATTAGAAATACATTAAAATGTGCAGACAAGCAAGTAATTTTATTCATTTTTCAAGTAAGAAAATAAACAATAAATCAGAATAACTATGATTGACAACTAATTTATTTATCGATAAATCTTTTTTAATGGTAAAAAAGGACAATTTGTCAAAACTGTACAAAAATAGGTAGATTTTCCTTTTAGAGTAAGAAAAGAACTTTGTAAGTTTGTTTTACCCAGAACTCCTGAAATGGCCGTTTTAGCTCCACCTCGTTCAAATTCAGTTTAAAAAGAAAAATAATAAAATAAAATAAATTTCTTAGATTTAACGACTTTCTCTCTCCAATTATTATTCTGCAAATCCAAAAAATAATCAACAGATCGGCCCGACACAGATGCATTCACTAAAAGACCGCTGCAATTGCATTTTAGGCAGTAAAATGTTTTTCTTCTTTAATAAAAGAAACGGTTGTTTATTTGCATCTTTTAATTAGTTTTTTTCTATTATTTTGTAAAAACAAAAGTCTTGCGTGTATCTTTTTAACTTGATTAATCAATTACTAAAACAATCATTAGTTGCAACTCTTGCTCTCCAGTAGCAGTCAGAATAGCAGCGTATGTGAAGAAGCTTCTCACTGAAGACTTGCTGTTTACCAGAGTCTCGACTGTCTGGACATGCTAACAGCTCAATATGCAGACAACAGAGACGATATTTCACAGTAAAAAGTCCAGTTGTTGCTATGCACTGCTAATCCACCTCATTTGCTTTTGCCGCTCCTTGGACGTCGACTTCTTAACTCCTCTGGGATTGAATCCAAGTCCTTTCTGATAAATTTCCGCCATCACAAGTTTGTACAGAGCTGCTCTCTGAGTGCTGGATGCTAACCACTACTTCTGGAGTGTTTTGATTAACACCTCAGATTTCCAGGCGCCGTGAATTACCCACCTACTCAGCAGCAGCGTTCATGCACTTGACACACTCGCCGGCCGTAATCTCCTCCGAGTGTGTCTGTGCAGTTTTATATACGACCGAACAACAATCACTTAAAGAGGGAGACGTGCAGACGGACGGCGGTGCCTTATTAAGAGATAATTCAACCCTCTTTCTTCTCCTCCTTCAGGAAAACGCAGGGAACGGAGATCACTTGTGGATGGAGACGAGTTGTTCAGGAGAGCTGTGCTACCTCGGGGAGGATGCGTGTCTCCTGAAGACTGCGGTGAGTAGAGACTGATTACGTCTCTGCAGGAGGGAAACGGGAAAGAAGGAGCAGGTGCTTCTCATGGGTTTATATTTCTGTTGATGTCTGGTCCGTTGGGCGCCTCTTTTTCTTAAAGAAAACATTCCACTCTCACTAAATTATAAATAATTTCAACTTGGAAACCGTCTGAACTGAATACTAATGCTGGGAATACATGAACATTAAATCTGCTCTGAGCTTAAACAACTGTTTTATCTTTATTGCAGTTTTACTTTTAGTAGCCGAAACAACAGAACGTCTGAAATTTGATTTAAATATTTTTATGAACCGGATAAAGACGGAGAAAGAAATGTATTTTCAAGCTATTTGAAAAAAGCTTGTTTGAATTAGAGTTAAGTAACACTTTATTTTAAGGGCTGTGCATAAGACTGACATGACACAGCATGTTTATGACTGTTGTAATGAAAGTAAATAATGACAGTTTTAATGCAACATTTAGTACTTGTTCTCATTATTCAACAAATAATCTTTCAAATGCTGACTTTACACTTTTAATGGACTTTTAATGCAAGTTTTAATGCATCTTTGCATTGGAAGTTTCACTATTTGAGAAATATTGACACTTCCAATGCAAGATTGAATAAAACTTTCCATTCAATGTCATTATTTACCAAATAATAACAATTGTAATAGAAAGTTTAAACTTTTAACAAACTTTTAATGCAAGTTTTATTGTAACTTTGAATTTAAAGAGTTATTATTTGGAGAATAGTGTAATTTTGCATTAAAAATCCATTAAAAGCATCATTATTTACCTGCATTACAACAGTCTTTAAGACTCCCTCATGTTTGTGACAGGTGTTGCATCAATTTTATGCACAACATTTAAAATAAAGTGCTACCAATGATTTAATTTTCATTCACATCATTTACAAACTTTAGAGAATCCCTGACATCAGTGAAACATTCCTGGTGAGACGTTTAACAACACGTTTAAATTACAGGCTTTGTGAACTCTGTCCCCTAGCAGAGAATAGCAGCTATTAGCATAAAGAGCAGAGAAACAACCTTCACTTTTCACAATAAAATAATGACACGTGCGCGATCACAACAGCACGGTAATTGCAGTATAACTAGAAGAAAACACTGCGGCTCACTGTGAGATTTCTCTGACATCCAGGTGGATTTGACTTTGTGGGTTAAATAAGTTAAATTAGATGTAAACTAAATGTGAACGTGAATGAAACTAGCCTTTTTTCAAATGTGTAACAACTTTAACAGGCTGTGGTAGGAACTATAAGACGTTTGTAGTTAATTAGGAAAGCAGCTAAATCAGTGATGTCCAAACTTTTTGCAACGTTGATCACAAAGTTTTCTAAATTAAAACTCAGACATGTTTTGTTTCGTCCCTGTGCAACAATAAACCACAAAACTGCATTTTAGTGAAACAAGTTGCCATTTTAAGGGTATAATACAGGAATAATATGCTAATTAAAAGAAATGCACACATTTCGCTCATTTTTGAGGCGTTTACCTGACTTAATGTTTCCAAGGCAAGAACAGAGTTTGTCACTCTTTTTTTGATAATGTATTTGTCCAAGTTTAGTAAATCAATTAAATCCAGTTGTTCTGTTTATTATGCAATTAAAAAGAGAGAAACAAGGCGGATTATTAAAAGTTTAATACCTGGAACACAAAATCTTACCAAGTATTTTTAGTCGAGTTTCTTGAAATAAGACAAAACTAACATAAAAGTAACTTTCCAACATTTTTTTAAGTAAATTATTCCTGATCAAACTCTACTAGTAATAAGTGAAATGATTTGCTAGTAAAACAAAATATTTTTCCCTTATTATGAGTTAAAATGTCTGATTCCTCTGGTGGTTTATTTCACTAATAATCAATAATTAATCTTTTTTTTTTCTTTTTTTCAAAGTTAGTTTTGTTTTATTTCAAGTGCAGAGAGATATTTGCATTAGAAACTAGAGTAAAAATGCTTTTATTGTAGCCGTGCAGCACTAGTTATTGAAGGCAACTTGCCCTCTGACATCTGAAGTGTTTGTGTTTTACCAGACGCACCAGGTGATAAATGACTCGCTTTTTCCTCACTGCTTGTATTTTCAGCTGCTTTGTGTCTCACTCTGCTCTGTGCTCCCTGTGTTTCCTTTAAGAAGTCGGCCCCCAGGAGGAAATGCGCCGCCTGCAAGATCGTAGTCCACACCGGCTGCATAGAGCAGCTAGAAAAGGTGCGGCACACAAACACCAACACGCTTCAGCTGTTCATCCTTCAAGGCCGACGTTTATTTCCTTTGAGTTAAATTCAATCCAATTTTGTTCCCGTCAAATTATGTCGAGCCGCAGATGAATGCTTTCAGACTCACGACCGCGGTTTGTGTCTCTGTTAAGATTAACTTCAGATGCAAGCCGACCTTCAGGGAGGGGGGGTCCCGATGCCTCAGAGACGTGAGTGTTTCTTCATGTCAGTATGTATGTGTGGCTGTAAAAATGAGGAATCGCAGCTCTGAGCGCCGTTATCTGCCAACAGAACGTACTGAGACACCACTGGGTCCACAGGCGGCGGCAGGAGGGGAAATGTAAACAGTGTGGGAAGGTGGGCTCACTCACACACAGAAATGTTCCTGGAGTCCTTATAAAGAACCAAAACCTCACTGTCAATGTTTGTTTTTTCAGAGTTTCCAGCAGAAGTTCTTCCACAGTAAAGAAATAATCGCCATCAGTTGTTCATGGTGTAAACAGGCGGTAAGAAAACTCATCATCCATCTTCAACAAAACTAAATAAAAATGAAGTAGATGAGAAACAATGGGCCTCACTGGTGGGAAATGTACAATTCCTGAAGAATATTCCTACTTTAAATGGAACCTATCATGCATCAATTATATTTTGCATGTTTTTATTCTTCCATTTGAGTCTTGGCTGCTTCTAAAAGCTGCGCAAGCGCTTTTAATGTCTGAAAAACGAGCCTTTTTAAAATCCCCCTGAATATTCAATGACATTCCACTGGTACTGCACCGTTACCTAGCAACCCCAGCAAAGCCCAGCCCGTTACCTAGCAACCCAAGCTGAGCTCCAGAACGATTGGCCAGCTGGTTTCACTGTACAATGGCTGCTGGAAAAGACAAGTGCTCAGTTGTTGACTTGCCTCCCAGAAACAACTTGCTATATTTTAGTTTGTTGTGCAGGAGGCTCCACTTCTGCTTTTCATAGATGTATGTTTCTACATCTGTTTGCAGCTGTTTTCACATAGAGGTTGATGTTTTTTGGTGTCTGGACAAGTCGTTTAAAAAACCTCCTGACTGTTAAGTCACTATGGACGGGCACTGTACTGCTGCCTAGCAACTCCTCATAATTTAATAACCTCGTTCTTTGCTAATGTCTATTTGTTCTGGACTTGAGGCAGGTGATGCGTGCAAGTTTTAAGATTTAATTATGCTGATCTATTCGTCAATTACTCTGGTGAAATCAGAGGGTTTTTTTTGTTAGAGATGAATAAAAGTTAACGTCCGTTTGTCTTCCAGTTCCACAACAAGGTGACGTGCTTCATGCTGCACCAGATCGAGGAGCCGTGTTCGCTGGGGGCCCACGCCGGAGTCATCATCCCTCCCTCCTGGATCATCAAAGTCAGGAAGCCACAGGTGAGAAAGAGTCCCTCCCTCCAGTTGATCAAGTTCACCCGCTGTCATCTGGTGACGATGATGCAGAACGACCTCGTTGGGGCTAAATTTGAAAAGCGGCCTGTCGGAGGCCGGTGGTGTGATGCGATGTGATCCGACGTACGTCTGATCTCCGAGGGAAGCCTGAGTTTAGGCCTCAGTTTGAGTCTCCCTCACACACGCACCAGGGCAGAAAAATGTCTCCCGCAGTCACGTCGCATGCTTCATTGCTGTTCTAATCAGCGTCAGCGTGGACGCAGTGACAGCGAACTAACATCTGAACTCTCCGTGTCCCAGAGCTCGCTGAAGAACTCGGCCAGGAGGAAAAAACGGACGTCTTTCAAACGAAGGGCGAGCAAGAAAGGACTGGATGTGAGTGAGAAAACCCTCCTATTGATCCAGTGGCTTTTAGCAAACAAGCAGAGAAAATGTGTTTATGGTTTTACAGTGTGTGTGTCGACATAGAAACAGGTTTTTGAAATCTTATTTCAGTTTAGGAAAAGATTTATTGTCTTTTTAAATCAGTTATTTTATTCTCACATTCTTTTAATTGATACATTAATCGACAACTAAAATAATCGTTAGTTTTAGCAGTGGTGTATTTGTATTGATGGTTTGGTGAAAGTAATTGAAATACTAACTAATAATAAGCTTCACCTGAATTAGCGATTGGAGGTTTCATAAAACTTTTAAATATTTAAGTTATAGTTTTAAAAATGTAATTATTAATTAGGGTGAAAAAACAAAGAAACCAAAGAAACTTTTAAAGATTTTTCTTAATCCAGATGTGGTGAATTAACAGGGATTTCACTGTTTCTCTCAAACTGGACTTCTTTTATTTTTGAACTTTTCTCTCTGAATGCAGGACTCTAAATGGCGTCCGTTCATATTGAAACCGCTTCCTTCTCCACTCATGAAGCCCGTCTTGGTTTTTGTCAATCCCAAGAGTGGAGGCAACCAGGTGGGTGAATCTTTTTACACCTTTCGCTCGCTGGCAGCACCAGAAACGCCGCTGTTAGCCTTCATTGTTTCATACGTCTGCATCTGCAGGGTGCCAAGCTGTTGCACATGTTCATGTGGATCTTAAACCCCAGACAAGTGTTCGACTTGTCGCAAGGTGGACTAAGAGAAGCGTGAGTGATCTTTTCTACTCTAGAAAAAAGATCTGAATCTCCTACACTGAAACAATGGCTTGAACTCAGATTTTCTGATTAAATGCCCAGAAATCTGTGGTATATTTGAAACACCAGTTTTTGAGTCTGGAGAGGAATTAAGTCTCAACACAGAAAGGAACCATTTATTTCTGCAGCCAACTCTCTTTCAGCTGCTGTTTCAATTCTCAGGTTGGAATTGTATCGCAAAGTGCCAAACCTGCGGATCCTGGCCTGCGGTGGAGACGGCACAGTAAGACTCTATGCTCATTTTTTAACCAGTTCTTATTATTTACCAAGATCCTGGAGCTTTCTATACCTCTCCGCAGGCAGAGGTCGGTAAAGTATCCAGAAATAATGTTTTTCAACATATTTTTACTCAAGTAAAAGTAAAAACCTTAAAAGGCAACTGAGTCATGAGTAACTGATCGAAACATCTGATTTAATATTTGAAAATGGTGTAATCAGACGGACAAAAGTGTAAAATTAAGTTCACAATCTGGGATTTTAAAGACTGAAATAATATCTTTATAGATAGAACATGATTACAAATTACCAAATTTAGAAATCATCAAAAATTCTAAAACAACTAATTATGATGAATCAATTATTGAAATAGTCGTCAACGAATTTCAATAACTGATTAATCGTTAACTGGAGTAGACAGACCAATTGGTGAAAAAGAAACATATCCAGAGCTGTAATTCTGCCAAAATGTACAAAAATATATAACTAGCGCTTTTAAGATGAAAATATGTTTTAGCCAAATTGCCTAAAGTTGTATAATTTTATCTTCACATGGTTCATATTCACCAAATGAATGTTATGTTTTTAAATTTCAGGCAATAAAATGTTTATTTTCTTATTTAAAAAAAAAGAAAAATTATTGATTTATTTGCATCTTTTAATGCATTTCTAACCTTGTTTTAATAAAGTAAGTGTTGAAATAAAAAACCTGTAGAATTTATCTACGTTTTTTATCCAATTAATTGATCAATTGTCTGAATAATAGATTATAATATATACTTAACAGCAAAAACACAAAATTGCAGTTATAAATAAAACATTGTACAGCCAACAATTGAACAAACATTACATTTTGATGAGTGACATCACCAAATTTATACACATTAAATAAAATAAGTAATAAATTAGTACTTATGGTCAGTAATAGATACTATATGTTAGAACAAAGTTATTTCAAATGGCTCAGCAGGAGGAAAATAACAATAAAAAAGCAAACTTTTAGCGTAAAGCTGAGTTTATATCTTATTAATTTTTTGTTTTCTTAATTTAGTGAAATTGCTCACAGTGAGTAGAGTATCCACCATAAAAAGTACTACACTTTTTGTGTATTTATTTGCAATAAAATACGCTAGAAGTAATTTAAAAAAAAAAAGAAAAAGTAACTCAGGTAACTGTAACTAAGTGTAGGTATTTACTAGCCTCCTCTGTCCGTAGGTGGGGTGGATCCTCTCTGCTCTCGATGAGCTGCAGATGAATCCCCAGCCTCCGGTCGCTGTACTTCCTCTGGGAACAGGAAATGACCTCGCCAGGACGCTCAACTGGGGCGGGGTGAGTTTCCAGCCTTCACTCATGTTGCAGAGCAGACAGCAGATGGGGTTTTATTTTATCCTCCAGTTATTTCAGTAACTTTTTTTGTTCACACATCAGGTGAAGTTGGTCTGTTTTTGTCTCGCGTTTTGAACATAAATCAGGTGTCTTAACGCCTCTGGGAGTTTCAGGGAAACCCACATTCCAGGATGTTTGAGCGCTCTTCCGGAGCATTTCAAGCCTTGACCTCAGTTTGACCTCCTCGAAGCCGCTGACACATCGAGCACAGAAGATTTAGTTACAGTTGATATTTTACCAGTTTCCTTTCAAAATATTCGGCCAGTTCTGAATGAAATCCCCAAAAGTCTAAAATAATTTAGAAACGTTAAACATAACAAAAAGTATTCTTCAGTGGTGAAATTAAAGACACCATGATGGTAAGATCTGTCCAATCAGATTCAGAAACCATCTTCCCGCAGGTCGCTAATTGGATTTCTGAACTTTGACTAGGCCATTTTACAGCCTTTGTACAGGTTGTTCAAAACCTTGAGTTTCAGTAAGATGTGGAAAGTTCTTGATATTCTAGATGCATAATTTTATAATGAAGTTCAATCTAAATTTGGAAAATATGTGCAGTTTAAGTTAGATACGCCTCATAAAGACACAGACATGTTTTTTTCTCATTGTCTGAAGTTAAATCAGAGCAAAATGTTCTTATTTTAGTTTAATTAGAACTACCTAAATTATTTCTGTTTGCTAAATGCCAGAAAACTTGGTGAGAACAATTTTTATTTTATTTTTGAATGTTTATTATTTCTAACCTCTCAGTAACTTATTGATCTGTGTAGCTAAAATAGAGGTTAGTTTAGATTTTATGCATTAAATGTGGCTGAAATTGTGGATTTCTTTTTGTTAAATTATTGTTTTGTTCAGGTTTATAGAGTGAATATGAGAGAAACATTTCAAAAACACTGAAATTTTGCAGTATTTTTGTTTACTGTGTCTTTGCTGTAGAATATGAAATATTATCACAAACATTATTAATAACAATGATAAATTATATTATACAACAGCGAATTTAAAGTGATTTTTTTTTAGTTAATATGTTTTGTTTTTATCTCAAAATTGTGATGCTGGAAAAGTTAGAAAACTTACCTACAAAATTCTTGAAAAATGCTTGAATGTTACAATTGGAAAAGTATATACATCCTTCCCTTAGCATGATGCTGCCACCACCATGTGTTCAGGGTTCAGTAACAGCTTTCCTCCACACACAGCGCTTCAAAATTTGGTCTAATCTCACCAGAGCATTCGTTAAACAATTGACTTAGTTTTTGTCACTCTTCCACTAAATCTGGATTTGTGGGACCAACACCTGAGCTGTGGCTGTCTGCAGCTCCTCCAAAGTTACTCTGAGTCTCTTGGTTGATGCAAAATGTCAGTAAAGATGAGACAGTCTCTGCAGTTTGACTAATTTGTCTTAAAAAAAATAATCTACCTTTATCCATTCTTTATTTTTATTTTTTAATAAATCTACTGGAAGCACAGCAGTGCTTTATTTCTCATACTTTCTCAAATGAAAAGGCAAAACATGGAACATATCGCTGCATAAGTAGATATGTTAGTCAGTAACTATACTGCATTATTCAGCAGTACAGATGAGTTTTAATGACGGCCTGTGAGCAGAATTTAATTTCTAAGAATTCAGTTCAATAAGAGTGAAGCTGTTTGATCTGAAATGACGCGGCGAGGACGTCCAGATGACTTTGAGATACTTCTGATCCACGGAGAGATTGACGCTTCGAGAGAAGATTAGACTGAGACAATTTCTAGCTACCATATGTGCAAGAGCTCTGCCCCTTTCATCCTCTGCACTCTGCTGTTCTTCCTCCCCGTCTCTTTTTATCTTTTCTCATTTCCTAATCCCTCCCTGCTTCATTTTCTTCATATTTTTCCTCCTCTTTCCTCTTTTAGACGTCTGGTTTAATACACTCATCTTTATCTTTTCTGCAGGTATGTGTTAAAGTGAGGTTGTCCTTTTTAGCTCTCTGCAATCAGAGTTTCTTTGAGGAATCTGAAGAAATTGCCACATTTTGCGCTGAAGCTCATCTTGTATTAAAAAAGATTCAAACAAGCATTTAAATTCTTTTTTTAAATAATAAAATAAACACTCCTTTAATGAACACTAAATTATTTCTAGCTCTTTCTGCTTGGGGATGCAACTAACATTTATTCATAATTCAATTTAAATTCAGATGAGAAGGAAACAAGTTCAAACATCCTGGTTTCTTCCTGTTGTTTCTGTTTTGCCGCAGGGTTACACAGACGAGCCGGTGTCGAAGGTTTTGTGTCACGTTGAGGACGGTTCGGTGGTGCAGCTCGACAGGTGGAACCTGCTGGTGGAGAAAACTGGGGTCCAGCCAGAAGAAGGCACTCAGAAGGTCAGGGGTCAAAGGTCAAGCCAGAAAATGGGCTGGATTTATTTCTAAACATGTTTTTCAGAACAAGGAATCTGTAAAACTGTTTTGTTTTTGTTCTAAATGTTTTTATTTTTGCCTATTTTATATGGAAATACTGATTATGTGTTGCACCGCTCTGGCCAATTACTTACTTTGCTATAAATTTTCGGTTATAAATATTTGCATATTGATACTTAAATATGTTTTTTGTTCCTCTTAAGCTTCCTCTGAATGTTTTCAACAACTACTTCAGCCTCGGCTTCGATGCTCACGTCACGCTGGAGTTCCACGAGTCCAGAGGTCTGTTTCACAAATTCCCTTCGCAAAACTATTCACAGCCCTTCAGACTTCAATTTTTACTTTTGTCAAATTTATGCGCTAAAATATTTAAAACCACTTACACTTTAAGGTATTGCACTTCTTCATGTTTAAATCCCAGTAAATGCCCTGCAGTTTGTTTCCAAAACATCACAAAATGTTAGTATTCAAGGGATGTGAATAATTTATTAAAGTTTTGTTGTATTTGTATATCAAAGACCTGAACTCTCCAGGCTTTCTGGACACATTGATTGAGTTTTCCTCCATTTTTCTGTGTTTTGTTTTCGTCCAGAGGCCAACCCAGAGAAATTCAACAGTCGCTTCCGCAACAAGATGTTCTATGCTGGCGTAAGTGTCTTCCATGACAAACTGTTTAAAAGCTTTGGCTGGATGGTTTATATTTTTCTCCTGTTTGCTGTAATTCTGCCTTAATGATCCTCACACACCCTGCAGGAATGAGGATCAGTAAATCAAGGGAAATTTCTCTCCAAAACAACTAAACATTGGCCTTTAAGGGAAAGTGGTTTCCAAGTTATTTATCAATAATGAGCAGCCTGACTTGTGCAATATTCATCCCGAACGCTCACAAAGCAAATGTCATGCTCTTAATAATTCATCTGACCTTCATTCTGAGGAAAAACTAAACAAACCTGATAGAATACCACTTTGTTTCCAGTGATGAATTTAACTAAAATCAACTTGAAAGTGATAAACAGATGTAACAAAATCATCCAGCTGACCTTTTTTTGCAAGACATGAGCTGAAAGTCAGAAAGGATGGGCGGCAGTTGAAGCGGAAACGTACAGAGGAGTTATCTCTTTTTAATGAGGGAAATGTAATGAACTGTAATTCTGTTTGATTGGCTTCTTCTGTCTGTTTATTTGCCTCTGTGTGTGTGTGTGTGTGCGTGTGTGTGTGTGTGCGTGTGCATGTGTGTGTGTGTTCAGGCTGCATTCTCAGATTTCCTCCAGAGAAGCTCCAGGGACTTGTCGAAGCACGTCAGAGTGGTGGTGAGTGTGAACACGCTCTTCCTCTCTCGGCTCGTATCGTCTTCCGTGTCGACATGTCTGGGTCGGGTGATTAAACGCGCCGTCCTTCAACTTCTCTTTGGGGGTTGACCCAGAGGAGGAGTCCCACTGGGGTTCCTCACTCATATTCTCTCCATGTTAAAACAAATAAATAGATCTCCACGGCCGAGAAAGCAGATTTAAATGGGATCTGTTATTCAAAACTTAAATTTTTTGTACTTTCATTTGGGTTTCTAGTGCTTCTAAAAACAGTCCAGCCACTTAAAATGCACACACAGACATTGTTTTGTCAATAACTTCACTTTTTTTAGTGAAAAAAAGTTAGCAACCCTAACAGAGTGACGCCTGTTTCCTTGCAACACCAGTGGAGTTCCAGCACGTTTGGTCAGCTGGTTTTACTGTGCTGTACAATGGCTGCTGGAAAAGACACATGTTTTATTGTTGACTTACCATGGAGAAAGCACTTGTTGCATTCTTCTTGGTTGTGCAGAAGGCTGCACTTCTGCTTTTCAAAGCTGTAAGGTTGTGTAATTGAGCTTTTGTCTGAAGCCATTTTATCATGTGTGAGTGTAAACATTGAACTGAGGGTGTTACCAGCAGCTGCTTATTTGGATTTAAAGTGACGAGGTCCTGAAACAGCTTGAAATCTGATTATCTGTGAATAATTTTGTTACATTTTTGAAAAATGTAACAAATGTTTTATGACACCTGTAGACCTGTCTTAACCTGTAAAATGGTTGTTTTGTCCAGTGACATGTTATCTTTGACACCTTCATTAAGCTGCTTTACTGAATTAAACATCTCCATGTGATTGGATCCCATCAGGCAAACAACCAAATTTATTAAAATTTCAGTCCAGATCAAATATTTTTCCTTATTTTATTGCATCCACAGGTTATTTTTATCTTATTTCAACTGTACTAAGAAATGTTCACTAGAAACCAGACTGAAACACCTGGTAAGATTTTATGTTTTTGCAGAGTGTTTCCTCTTGACACTAAATCCAAGCGTAGTAGTCGATGTTAATGCTGTCCTTATTGTTCCCAGTGGGAGCCATTACTGTTTTTTACAGATGCTCCACATTAACTCCAGCTTGGGGTAAAATAACGCTTCAAATAAATCATTAAAATCAATTAATTAGCGCCACATTTATGCCCACGAGGCGTTTATGTAATCTTCTGACTTCAGCTGTGTTTAACACATCCCTGTCCCCTCACAATAAAATACCAAATCTCTGCTGCTTTAACAGTCATAACAGTTCAGTTATCTCTTACTGTGAGTTGAATTAAAAGTATTTTACAGCACCAATTACTGGTGTTTAGGAGTCCCCACTGTGTGATCTGACAGGAGAAACCAGGAAGTGAGCTTAATGTCTGAGCGGCCTGTCAAAATAAAAGGCGGGTCTGTGGTTCTGGTTGGACGTGGTTCTGCTGTGCAGGCGTGACTCTGGCTCTCTGCTTTCTGCAGTGCGATGGAACGGATCTAACGCCCAAAATCCAGGAGCTCAAGTTTCAGTGCATCGTGTTTTTAAACATTCCCAGGTGGGTCAGTCACAAACGCGTCCAAACCCAGTGAAAGTTTTACTTCTTCAAGTCAAATATTTGATCATTTATATTTTCTACGTTGGAATTTTGCTAAACGCTTCAAAATTAACATTAAAGGCAAAATATAAATCATAAAATATTTTGAAATATTTTATGATTACATTAAATTAAAGATTATTCTTTATGTTTTATGTTGGAAAAATGTGTAAAACATAATTAAGTGCCAAATTTTATTATTAAATCACACAATAAAATTATACATAATGAATTTAGAAATGCGTCTCTTGCAGTTTTATTTTATAACATAACTTTTTTTTAATAATTACAACAAATAAACAAGAAATATCTCCAATTTATATTGGTTAGGAACTGCGACAACATATAATTATAAAATAATTAAATAGAAGTTATAATAAAATTTTTAAAAATGTAAACATTTAAATAATAGATAAATGTATACATTTATGTATCGTTAAGTACACATATTTTTATTAATATTTATATGCTCTTTTGTTTTTATATATTTGATAATCAGTACAGATAAATTTATTTATTTTGCTTAATACAGAAATATTTATTGAATGAGCACAGAATCATAAAATATTTAATACAATATTTGAACAAATTTTCCCATGTTTTTCCAAGAAAGAAACCATTATTATATTATATATTTCTCATTAATATGTCAATTGATACTTTAGCATACAGTGTAAAACACCTCCAAAAAGTCAAATAATAATAAAATAAGATAAACATGCACTAAAATAAATACAACAAAAAAAAATAAAAACAGGGTTACATTGATGCTAAAAAAAAACAGCATATTTGATTACATATTTAATATTGATTTAATTATTTACAAGTTTATTGAATTTTAGAAAATTCTTATAAATTTCTGCTACTAATTCTCCAACTTTCTAAGTGAGTTTTTTCCACTTAAGGCCTCTTAAAAACGATGAGCCTCTTGAACCAGAGCTGGATCCTTGAAATGTTCTCTGTTAATTGGGTTCAGAGCTTCGACCCGTCTGCTGCCGACTCTCATATCCTTGGAGATGATTTCTGTCCTCAGAGGAGGAGCAGCTGACGGCTGTTTGCTGTGTGACATGCAGGTACTGTGCCGGCACCATGCCGTGGGGAAACACCGGAGACCACCGAGACTTTGAACCGCAGCGCCACGACGACGGCTGCATCGAGGTCATCGGCTTCACCATGGCCTCTCTGGTGAGAAAAACACTAAAAAAACATTAGCTGACAGAAAAACCTTTATGTTCTACATGTTCGTGTCGTCCACCAGGCGGCGCTACAGGTCGGCGGTCACGGTGAGAGGCTTCACCAGTGCAGAGAAGTCGTTCTCACGACTTACAAGACTGTACCTGTTCAGGTAACCGACATGGATGTAGTTACACGTGATGACCAGCAGGTGTCATCATTGTGAAGAAAATACAGTTTGTTTAAATTTTCTTATTTCTGAGTCATTTAATGTTTAATTACTTCCCAGGTTTTATTAACAGTTAAACCTTCTGAAGTATTAAGCTGAAAATAAAAGCATTTAGTGAACATGTACCACGTTATATTGATAACTGACTATGTAATAAATTCAAACCTGTAATCTTTTGTGATGGTCTGGATCAATATATCACTGTTTAGGTCTGTTGCAATAATTTTCTTGTGGATTTAAAAAACTTTCACACATTTTTATACCTTTTTTGTTTTTCAGGCCACTAAAAAAAAGATGCGTTAATGTTGTGTGAAACGTATGACAAAGAAAATTGGATAAGAATTAGATAATTTTTTCTGTTACTTCTCTCTTTCTGTTTCTCCCTTTTTCCACTTGTCTCTCTGTTTCTCTCTCTCTTTGTTTTTCTCTCCTGCTCTGCAAGGTGATGAATTTTAATTTTCCTGAATTTCCACTTTTTGTTTTCTGTCCATCCATCCAATAAATTGACATTTTATTTAAACTTTAAATGAGGACTGGAGAACGTCAATACAATTTCTAAAACTTTTATTGTATAGCTTTAACATTTCAGCTGCTAAAAACATAAATCCGCTGCAAGCATCAAAAGCAGTTAAACCCTGCAAAATATTATATTTTGGCAAAATATATTTGTGCAATGATGGAAATAGTGATCATATTTTGAGTATCTCTACTTGAAATGTTTTTTATTTTACCGAGAAGTCTTGAAGAATAATAATGTGTGTGTGCGTATGTGTGTGTTTGTGTGTGTGTAGGTGGACGGTGAGCCGTGCCGACTGGCTCCTTCCACTCTGCGCATCTCCCTGCGAAATCAGGCCAACATGGTCCAGAAGAGCAAGAGACGCACGTCAGTGCCGCTGCTCAACGAGTGAGTCAGCTCCTCACACACACACACACACACACACACACACACACACACACACACACGGACGAACTGGGCCAGCCGTGTTGCTACAGAGAGACCGGGCTGCAGCTCACACTCACCGAGTCACACAATCTGTTTAGTGAGTTGACTGCACTCAGCGTCGCTCTGCAGACCTGACTGTGCTTGAATAAATGAAACCATTAGAGATGTGGTGGTTTTACAGATCAGGAGACATTTTGAGGATTTAACACTCTGTCTTCTCCCTGTATTTAGTTTATAAATGTAAATGTGAGTCTATTTCCTGCTTTTCGTAGCGAGCTACAGTAGATGTGTGTATGTGGCAGAAGGGCTGGGCGAGAAATAAAGATGTTTTTATTCCTGATCCGATTTTCAATTTATTCAACTTTTTTTCTCACTTTATTCAAAAAAATGTTCTTTTATTTCAGTCATCACTTCTGTCGTGTAAACATTAAATTCTACCTGAAAAATGTCTTAAAATTATGAGGAAAAATTTGTTTTAATGGAAAAATGATCAGATAATTAATATTCTTTTAATTCATTTTCTCATAAAATTACTATCTTGTTCTGCAAATATTAAGATTTTATTCTGGTATCATTTCAACTTTATTTCTGTAACATTATGTACAGAAGTACACCCGTACATTAGGGGCATTGGAGACAAAAAAGATTTTGAGATTTATTTCAGAAATTTTCTAGAAAAAAGTTGGACATTTCTGAGTTTGAAAAGTAAAAAACTTTTGAATTTTGGAACTTAGAAATTTTCCTTTTTTCTTTTTTTTCTCTAAAACATGTCTGAAATTAATCTTAAAATTTATGAGTTTATGACAGAAATTAATCTAAAATTAATACAGCGCCGAACAGGAAACACTTTAGGGCCACTCAAAAAAAAAATTCAGACTTTTGATCTGTGAAGTCAAAAATCTGGGGAAAAAAAAAGCTTTATTTTCATTTTTAAAATTAATTGTAGCCTCTCCCTTGTAATTTATCGTAGAATTGACTTGAATTCAAAGTCCAAATAAATAGAAAGGGTAAAACATGCTTCTCATACAAGATGGCCAATAACCCAGGGAGCACATTGGTGGAAAAAAATTCAGATTTTTCCAAAAACGAAGTAATTTTCAAAAAATAAAATCAGTTGACCGCCCAGCCTTTTAAAAGAAGAATAGAGACTTTAGCTTCTTGTCGTAGTATTTAGTGTCACTGCTATGGGACTGTGCTATCAATGTTTGTCGATTTACCTTTTGGGATTTTCTCCATCTTTCCCTCCTCTCCATCCTTTTCTTATTTTCTTCATCCGTCCAACACACTTACCCCACCTTTTCTTTTTTCTTTCCTGTTGTCTCCTCTCTCCACCGCCATCCGTCCGTCCTCTCTCCCGTGTTTGTCGTGCTTGTTTGCGTTTGTGCGGCCGTAGTATTCAGAAGGTGTGTGCAGCTGATCTGCGCCGCCTCTCTGCTCCCCCCGACTCCTTCTCTGTGTAAGTACCTCTAACCCCTGTTCTGTCGCTGGACGCTCGCGTGTCTCTGTGCACGCCGGCGCGAATGAAAAGGTGCCGTCACGTTTTTATCCGTCGGGTTTGGCCCATATTTGAAGGTCGTCTAGTGGAAATAACTGCATCTTTTTCTACAGTTTAGTTTTTAGCTTATTGTAAAGTTCTGAGCAAAAGTCAAATCAGGAAGGGATTTGAGTGAGAAAAACCTTTTGGGTTTTAAATAGTTTCCAGGTACGTAATTTGAAATAAAAGAGAATCTCAGCTCAAGCGTACTCACTTTAAATAACAGTTTTGTAAACAGAAAATAGTATTTTAGCAACAATAAGATAATTCATGAAGTGATTAGAGGTGTCAAACGCATAAATGTTCTTAAAGGGCCAGTTGCACCAAATTGTCTTGATAAAATCCATTAAAAAACTGTTAAAATCTCAATAACCATTTCTTTTCACATTGATCAGTCTCACCAGGATTTTGCGATAAAAGTAAAAGATTTGATTTTTTCTCATTTCTGCTAACTTACAAATAATTACAATTATTTCTGCAATATTTGTGTTTTTCTATGACAGTAGATGGGACCATAAACATTCTGGAAAATTTGAATGTTGTGGTGCCATTACAGTCTGGGGTAATTTTATTTATTTTTGTGCATTTTCTTGGCAGGGCTGAAACAATTAGATGAATCGTGATTAATTGACATAATTGTCAACTAATTGATTAATCGATTAATATTTAAATGGAGTACAGACTCTAAAAAAGGCCATTTGCTGAAGGAACAACACGCTCAGAGCAGGGATTGGGCCAGAACTGTTCAGAACTCATATAAATTTTGCATTTCATGAAAAAAAAACTTTCTATGTTCTACTCAGAACTTCTTCAATAACAGTTTAGCTTACGAACATTATTGTTAGTTGTCTGTCTTGTCTTAATCAGTTCAGATTGTGTTTAGACCAGAAGAATATTGATAAATTTATTACAAAAAGACCAATTTTAGCTTTAGAGTTTATGAAAATGTTTCTTTTATGATTAAAAACAATAATGTTTGTGTTGCAACAGCAAAAGCTCATAAGTTTAACCTACACATTTTAAAACGTAAAGGTTTTTTTGTGTATATATGTCTATTTTAAAGCATCAAATATGGGTCAAACTGCTGTGCTGTGTTGAATGTAAGTGTCTGGACAGGAAGTGTTTACTAAAGCGAGGAAGTGTTTGGCGGCATGCTGACGTCTTCAGTGTGCTTCTGCATCGTCTTTATCTTTTCCTGCTGTCGTCCCTTTAACTTTACTGTGAGCTCTGCTTTTATTATATCTCCCCTCAATGTGGTGTCTTTGCTCTTTCCATACAAAAATACCTATTGATATAATATCTGAGGGATAAAAGTGACGTTTTTTTATCCTTTTAGAGGTAAGATGTTGAGGTGCTGTGGTCAGTTTCTGATGGTTTTTTTATTTCTTTTCCAGCATCTTTTGAAACATCACCAGAGCTCAAATTTGATATTGTGCTGCTGAATTAGATTTTAAAATGTTTTACAGCCACCAGTTAGTGAGGCTTTATCTTTTAAGGCTCTAACTAAGAGGAGAATCAGACAGCAGGAACTAAACGTTGCAAAAAATGTCAGATTTAGTTGTGAGTTGTGAGTGTCTGTGCGTGCATGTGAGCGTAAATACAAAATACATACAATGCTTTGATAAAGTATTCAAGCCTCTTGAAGTTACATTACAACCATAAACATCAGTGGAGCTTAATGTGAAGTGGAAAAATGTATAGGTTTCAATATTTTTACAAATATAAGCCCCAGTAACTCATAAAGTCACCTAATTAGGAAGATTATTTCACTTATAACAAGGGAAAATGAGTATTATTTAATATTTATCAATATTGTTTAGTTAAAACAAGCTCCTATTTCTGGCTGAAAAGTCACTGGTAAGTTAGTTTTGTATTATTTGCGCTAAAAATACTTTTTTGTGTTTTTGCAGTGTGGAAACCCTGAGCAGGGAATATGTTTACATTTCCAGACTTTATTTTATCGTTTAAAAGATTTAGTTCCTAAAAAATGGAAGGTAATTTTAACGCTGGGTTTCCTTAGGTTGAAACTTCTGAAATTATATTTTAAAAAATGCCTTGAGATGATATTTGTTGTGAAGTGGCGCTATAGAAGTAAATTGAATTGAACTGAAAGGTAAAATGTAAAACAAAACATTACTTTGATTATAAGTTAAACAAAAACTCAATCTACAGCCGTCAATTAATCTATAAAAGAACAAGAATTCACTGAAGAAATGCTCTGTTTTTGTGTTGCACAATAAAGTGTTTATTTTCTGAATTTTGTTTTTTTTAATGTATTTTTAATATTGCATAAAAAGGCTGAAATAGTTAAATACAGAATCTGCAAAATGTTCCAATTTTTAATCGATTAATCATCAACATTCAATATAAAACATTACATAAACTAAAATAATAATGTTGCAGCATTTAAATGCATTTTAAGTCCAGTCCAAACTTTATTATGCACATTTGTCCAAATGTTAAAAAATAAGACAAAACAAACTTTTATCACACTGCAGAAATGGAATCCATCTTTGTTTTATGGTGTGGAGAAACATGGTGAATATTTTCTTCTCAAAACTCCATAAAGCATTATTTTTAAAAATCCAGATTGAGTTTGAAAATGTCTCATTTTTAAATAATTATTCATAAAAGCATTTAAAAGAATTTATTCCCTTTTCCCAAATCGAATAAACAGACTGAAGTTTGTGGTTGTAAATGTGAATACTTTTCCGGGTCGCTGCTCCGTTTCATGTGTGCGCTGCGAGCTTGTCTGATCCGTGCGCGTGCACGTACATGCACTGGCATGTTCTTCCCTTGCAGCCCTCACGCGGTTCCGGACCGGCTGCGGCTGCGAGTGAACCGGATCAGCCTGCAGGAGTACGACAGGCTGCAGTACGACAAGGAGCGACTGCGAGACATCTGTAAGGCCAGTTCGAAAATTCATTTTTCTAAAAACAAACAAATTCAATTTTTTCAGAAAAAAATTAGGAAATTTTCACAAAAAAATCTGAAATTTTGTTAAAAACTTAAATTTTTTTCTGGAGAAGTTTGACATGTTTTCTTGGAAAAAGTTTACAATTTTCAAAATGAAGCAGTATGAGTAAAATTTCACCAAAAACTCAGAAATCTTATGATTAATCTCAAAATCACTTGGAAATTTTCTAGAAAAAAATTCAAAAAAAATTTTTCTGAGTTTATTTATACAAAATTTCTATGTACAGATTAGATTTCGACACCCTTAGAAAGATTTTTTTTTTAATTTCTTGCAAATTTCCAAGTTTTTTCTAAAAACAAATTGAGATTGCTCTGTAAAATGTGCAACTTTATTTTCTTTACATTCATAATAATACACTGCAGCAGATTTTGTTTCCTGTTAAACTATATTATTTTCAGTTATAAGAACAGGATTTGGGTCACTTTGTTCCAAAACACTGGTCATATGTAGCCAAATTTAAGAAACAACTTTGCATAAACGTGGTTCTACATTTTGTTAAAACTTGTTTAGAAAAATACTTTTTGTTGTGCTTCAATGTACAACACAAGAAAAGAAAATTACATTGGTCATTTTTATCCTGATTACAAATTAAAAATCTGCATCGAAAAGCCAAATTTGTATTATTTTTGAATACCAGTTGGGCCCCAAATGGCCCTCGCGCCGCACTTTGGACACCCCTGCGCTAAGAGGAAGTAACTTAAGGTGTTTGTTGTGTTTCCCAGCGATCCCAGTAGGCATTGTGGTTGTGAGAGGCGACTGTGACCTGGAGACCTGCAGACTTTACATAGACAGACTACAAGAGGCAAGTTTTCCATCTTCATCATCATCGCCGTCTTCTCGTCGCCGCTTTGATTTCTCTCTTCCTCTGTCGCTTCTTCCTCTTCTTCTTCTGTGTGATCCGGGTTATTTATAGGCGGGTCGTGACCTCGGAGCGCAGCGCTGCTTATTAAGCTGGTTGTGCTGGAAGCTTCTTGACTAACATGTGTGGAAGTTTGTGTGTTTTGTTTCTTCTTTGGCTGCTTGCTGACCTTCAAACCTGTCTGCTGTGCCTGCTAGGATTTACACCAGGCGCCATCTACTGGCCACAGAGTGCACTACCAGGTACTTCGCTTGGAGAGGGACAGTTAGGGAATATTTCTAGACATTTGGGCCTTTAAGTAGAGCTGGCTGGTAAATCTAATGTTTGGTTTTTAAAAATTTAAGGTTTCGAAAATCTAGATTTTTTTTGCCCATTTTGTTTTACAGCTTCTGTTTTTTTAGATGTTGAATTCAGTCAAACTCTCCAACAAAATAAAAGAGTCAAGCTACGACTTCCTTCATTTTTTACATAAGAATAGAAAATAAAGTCAAAATAATATGACAAGAAAGTTTGTCATAATAACTTTTTTCTTGTAATTTTAAGATGTTATTTTTGGTAAAACTGCATCTTTATTGTGCTGGTGTTAAGACTTTATTCTCATGATTTAATACAAATTCTCTAAACCTCCAACGTTCAAATCACAGAAGGGAGGATTTAAATAAATGTTATTTTTTTGGTGAATCATTTTTAAAAACCAAAACAATTAAAAATTAAATTCAGATATGCTGTAAGAAAAATACTGAGGTTTTATCTCCGTCAAATCGCCCAGCTCTATTTTTAGGTTTTGATTTGTTTTCCCTTTTATTTTAAAATGTTGCATTCTTTATAAAGATTTCATTTTATTTTTTATTTAATTCACCGATCATTAAACATGAACAGCTCAAGTAGCAACTAAAATAAACATGAATGATTATTTGCCCCATTTACATAAATATTTTAACTTGGAAAACTAATAACTGCACTAAAAACATCCAATAATTCAACATAAAGACTTTTTAAACTTTCTCTTAAATGCAGTGAGAGATTTAGTTTATCTTGATTGTTCCATAATTTCCGTTCTGAGATTAATTTTTTTAATCTCAGCAATTTTAAATTATATTCTCTTTTTAACTAATCTGTTTTGAATATTAAGAATATAAGAACTTAAATTGTCCAATAAACTTTTCCAACTTATTAAATTTGGAGTTTCAATGCCATCTGGAAAAGTTTGGATTTTATATTTTTTTTCAGATTATAAAAAATTACTTATATTTCCAGAGATTATTTCCTATTTAATTTCCTAAATGCTTTCCTTCCATCCTTCTTGTTTCTCATTCATTCGTTCTTCTTTCCATCCTTGCTTCCTTTAATGCCTTTATGTCCTCTAGTCTTTCCTTTTTTGCTTACTTTTTTCCACCTCGTGTGTTTTTATCTGGAAAAGACGATGCAAAACAACTTTATTGAATCTATCTGTGCATTTTTAATTGTTAGTTCAATAATAAAATTGTTTGTTTTTTTGTTTATTTTGTTTACATCCAGGATGAAATCAGAGGCATCCCCATCACCAGTTCAACCAGTAGACTGTCTGCTAACTGGAGCTTCCTGGACTGTGAGTTTCAAAAACACATTTAATATTTTGTACAATGTGATTAAGCAACTTGTTTTTGTTTCTTATGATTTCAGCGACGTCAGCTGATCGTTTCTATCGCATTGACAAAGCTCAGGTAAGGATGGCAGTCAGACGACACAACACCTGGTGAGAACAGGTTCTCATTTCACTCTGACTGTTTTCTGCAGGAGCATCTTCATTTCGTGACAGAAATATGTCAGGACGAGGTTTTCATCCTGGACCACGAGGGACCAGTGGGGAGCCAGGCGTCGTCGGCTGGGATGCCAGATCTGGTGGTCGAACCTGCTGCAGGGTAAGAAAGCAACTTTTTTAGAATAATTTCATTTCAGTCATTTTCTTTTAGTTCTGATTGCAGAGGCGTGTGGCTGCAGTTGCCTCTGTTGACCACCAGATGTCACTAGATGGTGGCTTTGTTCAGTAAATTATACATTGTTATTAATATCATTTCTATTAATGGATCACTTTTTCGGTAAGAGAAATAAATGTTTAAGGCTCTTTCAGAATTATTAATTTCTCAAAAGGTTTGTGTTTAATTGTATATGAGTAAAGAAAATATTATCAGACATTATTGCCATTCAGTCGTGGTAAAAGATTGAATTAGTGTAGAATTATCTGTTTCAGATTCATGGTTGAATGGACAAAAGTCTGAAAATGAAAGCCTGGAAAGTCATTTTTATCTGAAAAATATTTTTGAATGTCTTTATGTTGCCTATGAAATGCTGACTTTGCGATTTTCTTTGCCTTTACTGTTTTTTTTTGTTGTTGTTGTTTTTTTAAAATTATTATTGTTATTTATTGCAATTAGAAACATTTAATCGTGCTCTTGATGCAAAAGTTTAACAGTAGATTAAAAGACACTTCAACTTGGCGCCGCTGGAAGGGAATCCTGAGTAAAAATAATATTTGTTAACCTTTCTTTTTTTAGATAACCAGATTTGCTGCTTGGGAACGTGTAATGAAATAATTGCTCTTCTTCCCTTATATTTTTTTTTCAGGGCTCCTCTGACACCTGATGAACAAGGTAACCCATGGCAATCATATTATACAATCATATAATCCAAACTTAATAGTTTTATGGTGTAACAAATGTGAAGTTTCAGATTCTTTTGAAAACAAAAACTCTACCATTCCAGAAAATTAATCTGAAAAGGCAAAAACATGCAGTGAACGGAATAAACACCATTAAAATGTAATAAATTAACAATGTAAACTCTTTGTTGTTCTGAATGTTTCATATTTTTTCCATTCGCCGTTTTGCAAAGTAAAAAACTGAGTGTTTTACTTTTCCCTTCATCGACTCGCTATGCATTAAATCGGTTTCAACTGTTCAAGATCATTTGAAGAAGTAAATTTTTGAATTGTGAAGCATTAAAACCAGAATCATAAAATATTCTGGTTTATTGATCTGCTTGTTTCTGATTAATAAACTGAGACATGCCTGGACTTGTCCTGATAAGAAAGGAATCCCTGAAGCAAAGTTTAGTCATTTACAGTCGGGAACTCCCTGAACTCCGTTACTGTTAATCATCTTCACTCTTTATTTTTCTGCTTTCAGTTTTACATAATAAAGGTTAAAAAGGAAATTTAAGCACATTTTTTTCTGTGTTTTAAGCTCCAAAAACCAGTCATAAACTTGATTTATAACTTATTTTTAAACTTTCTAGAAGTTTTAGCATTTTAATTATCAACATTAAAATTATCTAGTGTCGCCTCCAGGAAGATAACGATCATTTAGTGCCTATAAAACCATTATAATGTGATGCTGAGGCCACACATATTTTATCCAAGAGCCAGACAGTCATGTGGTTTGTTTCTGAGACAACAGGTTTGGATTTGTTGAACCTTTTAAATCACAATGACTCAGATGTTTTTAAGATTCCTGTCAGAGTTTCTTTGCATCAGATTGTTTTTAGAGGTTTTCTTTCTAATGAAATTCTCCAGAAATCATGTGAGGAGATCTTGTGTCGTGACTTCGCTGTGTTTTTGTGTTTTGTTGCAGCTCTTCTATCTGCGGCCAGTACTGGAGATCTTCTATTGGTACTGTACTTTCCACTGGAAAAAAACAAAAAACAAATTTAAAACTGTAAAGCCAGTTCTGCCTGTTTGTTTACGTTAGAATAGAGTTGCATGGATGATCCACAGGATTTTCCAGTTTATTTAGGATTTCTGTTAAACAAAAGCACCTGTGAGTCATTCAATTAATCAAGTCTGCCTAATTTTTCGTTCCGTAATTTGAAAGATTTCTCTGTTTTCCTTAAAGCAACATGAGTGGTTTTTGTACAACTTTGTCTCCTAAAGTGAAGTATAAATAACTTTGTTTTATAAAAACACAACCCATAAATACAGAAACCAAAACTCTCTGAATATGAAGTTATTTTTTTACAAACAAGATTCCTATAAAAACATCTGTTACATCTATGCATCATAGGTCTACCTGGTTCATCTTACATGACTTGTCTTAGCTGAATTTTGGGTCTCTTGCTCCTAAGCAGGACTGTATTTTAGTCTGAATTTGAGAAAACTATTCCAGGTTTGGTGATTATGTTGCTATCTGAAACAGTCATATGCCTTCATAATTCTGAGAAGATTTAAATCTTTAGCCGCCAATCGTTTCCACGCAGTTCTTAGTCACAGGTTTCGTCAGAACAAAGCTGTGATCTGCCTTACCAGAAGCAGGTGAGCCAGAGATGACGTTGCACAAAACAAGATTCACTTTTGCTTTCTCAGATCCAGGAAGCTGAGAAGAGAGAAAGTAATGGTTTTGTTATGGCAACAACAAAAAAGTCTGACTTGTGTTGTTCAGAATGTCGTAAAAAGATCAGATACAGATCGCATTATCGCAAAAAAATAAAAAACAAATCGGAAGTGGGTCACTTCAGGCTGCAGTGTGAACACAACTTAACACTCCAGTAAACAAACTTCTGCTCAGTAGCTCAATATTTGTCTCATCTGTTTACGAAACGTTTCTCTGAACATACGTCCATTTGGCCAGGTTTGAATTTTAATCGATGTTAAAAGTTTTGACTTTGCTCTGAGTTCACTTTGAACTCGATGTAACATTGGGTGTTCCATCTATTTCCGTTTCCAGTTTATCGAACGTTTGAGGTTTGTGGTGCTCAAACAGCTTCTCAAAAGCACTTCCTCTTTTTTCTAAGTCAAATTTATTTGCATTGCATATTTCAGCAATGAGGGACAATACAAATCTTGTCCTGCAAGGGGGAAATATAGGTGTAACAGCAGCAACAGATACAGAGACTTGCATCATTCGCTGTTCAATTATGAAACAAGCAACAAACATAACATTTTGTCACCAACACATCAAATATGTTGATCTGTGTTTCATTACGTCTCGTCAGTGTTTCAGCTGTTTTACAGTTTTCTGAAAGCTTGTTTCAGATTTATTGTGAACTGCTGTGCGGCTTGGTGCTAACCCAGTGATACGTCAGAAATGAAAGCCTAGAAATGTTCTTCAGGTGGTAGAAGGCCGACTTTGTAACCGTCTTAATGTGACTCTGAAGGTCACATTAAGGTTCAGTCACTCTGACTCTGGATTGTTCCTCTAAAAGTTTGGATTAGAAATGTAAAAGTAATGATTCAAAGTATGCCTGAATATTTATACCTGGCGCATAATTTTAATGCATCTTTTTCACTTTCTGCATAAAACTTGAAGATTCCTGAACATTGTGTCGTATTTTCTGTCCAGCTGACGGACAGCGTACGTCGAGGAGTCAGCTTGTTGGTGAGAGACTCCGCCGGTTGTTCTGCTTTACATCTAGCTGCCCAGAACGGACACACAGATCTGGTCAGCTTCATCCTGCAGCAAGGTGAGAAACTGGACTTTCACTCATTTGGTAATAATAATTTTTATCATATTTTATTATTAATTTTTTTGTTTCTTACTCTGCAGGTTCAAAAGTTCTCCTGGATTTAACAGACAGAGACAAGTAGGTTGGAAAATATGTTCTGTATTCATTATGTAGGTTTGCTGATGTTAAACTCCACTAGCATGTTTGCTTAGCCTTCCTGTGTGTCTGCAGGGGGGAGACCGCCTTGCACAAAGCTGCCTCAGAGAAGCAGCATGCAGTGTGTCGGATGTTGGTGGAGGCCGGTGCTTCGCTGGAGAAGACAAATTTCCAGGTAACCAACAGAGGAAGGGAAGTATCACAAATGAAAAGACAACTGCAGCTGAATGACTTCAGATCAACACGACATGTAAATGATTTACACAGAAGTTGCTTTGCTGGCTTTAAGGGCGTATATCTTAACTTCTGGTGTCGCCTCAGTTTTAGTTTCATTATGTTTCAGTTTAAAATAAACCAGCAAAATATAGCAAAGGGAAAATTGATGTGTAGTTTGTAAATATTTGCGAAAATAAGTAAAATTCAGCTCAACCTGTGCTTCTGCATTTAAACCTGATTTTGGTTTATGTTGAAATCCTAAAATTTAAACTCTGGTAGAAGCAAGAGAAAACAAACAGAAGCTGCTAACTGAGGAGGGCACGCACACTGTGGGTTTTTTATACCATTTCTCTGAGAAGGCAGCTGTTTTCAATGTTTCCCACTTGTAAACAATGGATTTCCATATCAAATTATTTGGAAATTACCTTATAACCCTTTTCAGACTGATGTACAGGAACACTTCCTTCTCTAAAGAATTACTGTTAATGTCTTTGTGTCCTGGCTTTGTGCTACAACACACCTGCAAGCTGCTGAGCAGAAACGAAAGAGGATCACAGTGAAAAGAACAAACTGAAAGCCTCCCCACAGCTGCAAAAATGGTTTTGTCTTTAATAAATAGACGTTTTTTGGTTTTCTTTTGTTAAAGGTGACCCATCATGCTCTTCTTGTCACGTTAAATTCAATTCACTCTCACTAACTCAGTATTCACACTAGCATGTGAAAATATCTGCAAGTAGACGCCAAATGTACATTTCTGAAAAGCATAAGTGGAGCCTCCTGCACAACTAACAAGAATCCAATAAGTTGCATTTGTCAAATCAAATCAGATTTAGACTCTAGAAATAGAACATTCAAGGTTACGGTTGTGTTTTGAAACATTATGTTATTAATTATCTGTTTTCTGCTAAATGAGGTCAAACTGAAAAGACATTTAACTTTAATTAAATTCAAGAAGTTCTTAATATTGAAAACTTTCTGCCACAATCTTCCCTTTAAAGACATTCCTGATCTGGATAGAGCGATATAAACCAGCAGGCCAAAGCTTCTGGAACTCTGCCGGGGTTGCTAGGTGACAGGCGGAACTCTGCCGGGGTTGCTAGGTGACAGGCGGAACTCTGCCGGGGTTGCTAGGTGACAGGCGGAACTCTGCCGGGGTTGCTAGGTGACAGGCGGAACTCTGCCGGGGTTGCTAGGTAACGGGCACTGCCTGTGGAATGTGACGTAACATTAAAACAGTTCATTTCCTGGTCACCAATAAACATGAACTTATTGCCAGAAAACAAGTCTGTTTTTTTTTTTAAGTGTTTGGCCTGTTTTTAGAAACAACTGAGACCCAAATCAAAGTACAAAAACGTGCAAAAAAATTTTGAAATCTCCAGAATCTAACTAAACAAGAAAATGTTTGCTGACTTTGTGTCAGACAGTGAGAAAGCACACTATTTGCTGAATGACTAACAGATTGACGTTGAGTTGATCTCCAACCTGGCTGCTTTTCACCAGGGGAAGACGGCGGCGGACCAAGCAGCAGGAGACTCTGAGCTCGCCGTCTTCCTGAGCTCCCAGCACCAGACGTCATCCGGCACCAACGAAGACCTGGAGACGGCCGTCTGAGGCGCCGACGCTCCTCGCTCTCTCCCGCCGGACTCTGGACTCCGTACCGGCCCGGAGCAGAGAGAACCCGGGAGGGAAGTGTCACACCTGTGCTGGATTTCACTCCGCAGGCGCACAGGTGAACCAGGAAACGAACTGCCTCCGAACGCGGCAGCATTGCAGCAGAGATTTTAACGCTCTATTTATTTATATTTATTTATTCTATTTATTGGTTGTGCTGGTTGATTGACTTTTAAAAATTGCAAGTGCAATTCGTCTTGTAATGGAGTTGTTTTGGTCATTTTTTGCAACTATACTAAGTCTGGAAAATGATCAGGATTGCGATCAAAGCAGAATATTTATCCCATAAACCTGTGTGCCAAAGACATTACACTGTTGTGGTGTCATATCTAATCCAAATAACCACCGTTTCATGAATCCAGGTTGGATTTCCAGGGCGTGAACTCAAACCTGTGTAATGTTTTCACCCGATGAGTCACAGATCATTGTGACGCAAGTACAGAAACCAAACTGCAGCGCTCCATTTCTCCCAAACAAAGTTCCTCTAGGAAACAACGGAGAATGTTATCAGAAGTTATTTAAAAAATGTTTTAAGCAAAAGGTGTTTAAAACATTTATTCTCCTTTAAAAACGAGTCAAAGCAGCCATCTTGGGAACTTCCCGGTGGAGCCACAGAGTTTGTTTTTGAGTGGAAAGTGGAGGTCACATGTTTGATGTGAAACAATCACCACAAATCTTCTCTGAAGCAAAACAACAAACTAAAACAAGTGAATGTAGCTCATCTGTAACAGAACCCAGGCTTCATTTTGTGCTGGTCGTCGTGTTCGTCCGTCCGTCTGTCTGGAGTCAAACCAACATCATCAACACGACTGAACTTGTCCGTTTTACGAACACATTGACCTTTGACCCAGTTGTACATGGAGGCGTTAATAAACTGAGCTCTTCTGTGATGTTAGAAACAAATCATCCACATGTGCAGACACACCTGGAAAAATGCTGAGAAAACCTTTAGGAAAATTTCTCTCTTATTGCAGCAGCTTCATTTTGCACTGGGAAAAATCTGACATTCACAAATGTATTCATTTTTCCTTAAGTGTGAAAAATGAATTTATCCATTTTAGTGTTTATTTGGCAATAAGTTTGGCTCATTATGATACTAAATAAACCTTTTTCAGTTTTCTGTCAGATTTTAATTTAAAAATGGCCTCATGTTACAATAGTTTGTGTTTCTTGGGGCTTTAAGGAGAGAAACTCTCTCTTTGTTTAATTAACTGTAAACATCAGGTCGTTTTTCCACATATTGAATGTTTATTTAATCTTCCAGGTGAGATCCTGATAGAGTTGAGCGAACTCCATATGTGTCTTTTTGTGATTGTGATTTCCAAGCCAGTGGAAATCACTCCTCGCATGGAGTCAAGATAAATGTTTTTTTTGTCGAGGTCAGGCTGCTCTGTGCTTCTTACTCATGGCCGACTGCAGACTTGGACCAAGTTAAAAGCACAATTGTGTTTTTAGAACCATGTCCTGACTTACAAAGAGCCACAGACGCATGTTTTCTTCTCCTTCTGTGATTCATTAAACCTGAGAGAAACTGCAAGTCAGGGATTAATAAATACAAGCTTTTATGCATCCTAAATGTGTGCTACTACTGCTACTGCAATAAAAGATAAATGTTCTTAAAGGTTATTTTAAAACATCTGTACCACGGGTGTCTGGAGGTGTTGATTACAGCTCGAACTTTTGGACCAATAATGCTAAATTAATCCCCTTTTTGCCTGAAGTATAAATATTCTAAATTGTTGCCTGTTTTTTAACACCTTTTTTAAAAACTAAAATATATTAGGTGTTCTGTTTCAACAAAACACATTCCTTAGGGTCAAATTCACTATTTTCTTAGCAAATTGTGATTGATTTATTTACCTGTCAAGGTAGAAAGGTGAGTATAGGGCAGGCTGGTTGAACATAAAATCAGTTTCAACACACTTATTTTTCAAATATCTGAAGGATATTATATTTAACTGTAATTACAACTGTAATTACAAATAAATAACAAACCCAATGATGTAAGTTGAGGTATTTAGAAAGGAATTAAAAGATATAATCGAAAATATCTTGAATTACCCATTACTGATTTTATGCTAAAACTGCCTGCCATCAAGACACCTGGCTAACTCACCTGAGCTGCTGATGTTTTTCTGTTGATCGGTGATAAAAACAAGGAAATATGAGTCTGAGCAGCTTTATTACTCACTTGTGCTTTGAATCAAACCGATACCTGTTGTCATTTTTTAATGGCTCCTCCCGAATCATAAGGCGTTTACATAGAAACGTGTGGCGGGAAGCTGTGACTCAACATATCCAACAAAAAGAAACAAGCCTGTACAGACTAATTTATCCTTCAACAAGCAAAGTGTGTTTGCAGTATTCATCCCAAAAACAAAAAAAAGAAACCATCTGAGTCATATTCAGTAGAATATAAAGACGTTATTTCTTTTTTTTCTTCTTTTTTTTACATTTTTCTGTTGTTTACATTACATTAATGTTTAACACAGTCGAGCATTTAGCATCGGGGAGTATTGAATGTGCAATGTTAGTTTGATTTCTTCTGTATTTTAGAGAAATTAAACAACTTTACAAGGTTTTCTGTGAAATGAACTAAGATGTTCAGGAAGTTTCATGTATATTTTAATTTACTTTAGTCTCCAGATTCCTGCTTAAATTAACCTGATTTTGATCCAAATAAAAAAGATCTAATTTGAATGCCAATGTGATTTTATTTAACTTAAATAATTGAAAGGTTCAAAGTTTTATTTTCGTGTGATTAAAAGTTGCATTATTGGCAGCCTTGGTAGAAAGCCTGAAATATCTTTCATTGCAGCAGCATAAACAGAAATGTTATGTTTTGGTCAATAATATTTCACACACCAGGAGCAAAAACATATACATTTATGTAAACTTTTTGATACGTTTGTTATAAATTGGGCTGAATAATTACTTTCTTAAAATTTCCTTATTTATGAAAATTCAAATGTCTTGAATTTGTCATATTTTTATCCAAAGCCAACATTTGCTTCAAACTGAAATGTTTTCTAATTTATATTTGTTTTTGCTATTGAATAAATGTACTGAAATTAAAAGGTGGATTTTTGTGCTGCTGTTTTGAAAAAAAAAAATTTTCAATTTAAAACATGTTTAAGTGTTTTTTTTTAATAATAAAAAAGGTAAATGCTGTTTTTTTTTAACAGAGACTTTCTAATTGCTAATGCTGATGATCAGAATCGAATCAGACTCTTCTGTCTTCCTCCCAACATTCTGCAACTCTTACCGGAAACTTTCTGAACTAAACTTACTTTTCGATTATGACAAACGTTTGTGAAATGCGGGACTCCTCTGTCCAATTTCCAACACAGAGCGCTTCCTTTTGGGATTATAGAGTAATGGATTTTATGTGAATAAAAAAAGTGACTGTGTGAAAAGGTCCAGCCTGTTCTGAACGACACAAACACATTTCACTTGTGCATGACGTTTTCTTACCTCTTTTGGGTCCGTTTTCTGGTTAATAAAATAAAAAAATGGCATTGTTGTTTAAAGTATTACATTCTTCTAGTTTTGAAAATTATACCTGAGTTTCATTCGAGTTTGGGCATGTTTTGGCGGTATTTTTGTTCTGGTTTTACATTTCATTTTCCTGCTGCTGAGATTACTTGAGGTTTATTTAAAGAACTTGTGATTCTTTTTGCTTCTGACCTCATTTGCTGTTTGAGTGAATGTTGGAGGAAAGTTGGTGATTTCCTCATTGATCTGCAACAAAAGTGCTTGTCAAAGGACATCTACATGTAGAAGGGGCTCCACACTTCTTGATTTGTGTTTGTAATTCTCCAACAAGGAGCCGACTGAAAACCACTCATGTATCGAAGTTATACGGTTTAGTATGTGTACAGTAAATATGTAAAGATCGTCATTACAGTACAAAGTCCATATTTTGTCAAATAAAGTACAACAAATTTATTTCAAGCTCACCAAACAGACTTTCTTTGTAAGAAGCTAATTTTTGCTAACGATGCTAACGCGGCGACTGCTGGCATCTACTAGCATGCCACAACAAGAGTGCAACCACATAATATTCCCATTTGTTGACCAGGATGTTAGTGATTACATTTACATGGTTACTATCAACATATAATACAACTTTTACCTGTTTCATTTATAAAATATCTGTTAAAGTAAGATGCTAGTAGCATTCGAGGCTAACTCAAAGATGCTAATGCTACGTTTAGTCAAATCGTTTATTTACTATTTTTCACATTGAGTGTTTTTTCCTATCACTACCCTGCCATGTATTCTCTTAATATCTATATTATTTTCAGTGATTTTTATTAAATATTGATATAAATACACATAAACCCAGAATATATACAGTTTTGGTCAAAAGTTTACATCCACTCATGGTCTTGATTGTTTTTAAAATCATTTAATTGTTTGATGCAACATGAAATAGGAGAGCAACACAAGATTTCATTTATGGAGGATTTTATCTAAATAAATGTGTTCATACTCCTTCACTCATATTTAGTAAAATACAATTCAACTACACACTTTGTAGCTACTGACAAGCTAATTCTAATGTTTCAAAATATTGGTCTGATATTATTCTGAAACGTTGGGATTTTCTACGTGTTAGCCAGCTTTATAAATTGCTTCTTAATCTAGTTACCAGTAAATATTCTTTGGTTAATTGTCTCTAACGTTTGATAAATATTCCAACAGGGACACATTCCTGTTGATTTTTCCTGTTAAGAATGCAGAAATCCCAACTTCCAGGTAGAAAACCGGTGCCGTCTAACTCCCCGTAACCTCTGAGTACTACCTGAAAAATGAGTTTCCTTTTGTTTACTTTTCCTTCTTGCCAAACTTGGTCAATAGAAGCCAAAGCCACAAAATGGGAATGTCTCCAGTGAACGGCTAGACAACAATGGAGACTTTTTCTCACTATGGAGTGGCGTTATGGTGGAAGTTTACCTTTTATTTTCAAATATATTAACCAATAAAATGAGTACAAGGACACAGAGATTTTTATGCTTTTCTGTCACTCAATGAAACCTATTTTGATATAATTTTCCTACACTTTCTGAAAATCTGCCAAATGTGGAAAGCTAATCTGGTTCCAGAAAGAAAGGAGTGAAGTCCAGCGGTGGGGACGAAGAATCGCCTCGTTTGGTTTCCTCGCTACATCTGACATCCTCTTAAGTCTCATCATTGGCCAACAAGATATAGTTCTTTAATAAATATTGTTTTGTCATTCTAACCAGACCGACTGCTGTAATTCCCCTTCTTGTGTGTGGATTTCTGTTTTCTGGTGAAGTTGAAGAGTAACTTACTTCCTGTTACATCTGTCAGCTTTGGCATTTGAAGATATTGAAGTGTTGTGCTCTGTTATTATGCTGATGTGTGAGTCATTCATTCCTTTCAGGAGCTGTGAACAACAACAACTCTTGGGAAGTCCATGATGTGACTACGCTCACTTCCGGGTTGTTACCAATCACATATCGTCTCTTCCTGAGTTATTTTCGCTCCAATTAGACCCACCTGGGTTCATTTAGGAATAATCTGGATCATCTGGTTGCTTCCCTGTGGATCAGTAAGTTATATTCGCCTCATTATTATTACAGACACAGAATATGATGTAAAATCTAATTAAAGAAGTGATATAAATTAAAAACAAGGAAGTTTAGGATACAAAGAAAACCAAAAGATATTATGACTCAGGGTAATTTTGAAGACTCGGCATATTAAGATCTCATGATGTTGCCATTAACGTCATGTGGGCTCCTTGTGACAAACAGGCCAGAATTTAACACCATAAGTTCATTTATGGAAAGTTGTCATGGTAAATAACGTGACAGAGCTTTGAATTACAAACAGAAACAGCATTTAATATACATATATATTTTTATTTTATTTTTTTACACCACAGTATGGAAAGCTGTAATTCTGGTCCCCAACTGAACGAATCTACCGGACTATCGGGTGTGAATATCCTCAGACACATCTGAGAGCTGCAGCCAAGCAGAACATACCACACTATAATTGTTTATCATGTATGTAGCTCAGATTCATATGATTCTTGAAAACAAACATATCACATGCCTCAATATTTCTGAGTCATCTTATGACTAAGAAAAAAACATGTTAGTTGTCTCATGATTAAGTTGGTATTTCAATGGATGCATCTAGACTTTAGATCAGCGGTACTCAATGTTTTGTAACCTGGGACCCCTGGTTACAAAACATTTGAATAACTGTTTAATAGTTTCAAATAAATACATTTTGCATTCATTTGTAAACATTTCCAGGGCAAAAACGTGTGAAGAAATTTGAATAAAGCTGTTAGTATAGAGTCTACGACTCTTAATGTCAGAGATACCCTGTATAAGTTTATTTTTTATTTTGTTCAATTGTATTCGATATGTCACATTAAAAATATCATATTAAATGTTGATTAAGGTTTTTTTTCATTATTGTCAGCGTATGACTTTCAGTTTCATTTCCTTTGCAGATTTTAATTTCGCGTTAAATGGTCATAAAGTTTATATCGTAACCTGTGATTTTCTACTTATTTATTTTTTTAAGTTGGTAAAAATGACGCCCGTGTTTTTATGTTTATTTGTGTTTTTTGTATGTTATTTAAACAAGAGTAAATCACATACAAAAGAACACATTGTTAAACGTATGAGGAAATAAATCGACATGTTTTTTTCAGTTGGAAATACGTTTCACGTCAAAAGGAATGACGTCATCAACGTATGAAACTGAGACGCAGCTCGCGTACGGAGCAGTTGATCGGTTGAAGACAGAAGAGTCTCACGGACAAGAGGACTTTGTATTGCTCGAGAACGGTAAGAACTTTAGTTTTCGGCTTTTGGGGGGTTTTTAAAGTTAGGTTTCTGAATTTATAACGAGACTAAAATACGTTTTTGGTTTAATTTCACCAGAAAAAGTTGAACCTCCGCGAAAGCTGACCGTGATGTGACCGCTAAACTAGCAGAACTACGATGTTTTATTTTGTTTTTTTACTGAATAAGTAATACACATGTCGACATTTTGTCATTTTTAACTTGTCTAACTTTGTCGTGTCACAGCTCAGATTTTAATCTGTGTCGTCATTCAAACAGCTGTTTGAGGAAACTCCTTCAACATGCCCCGACATGAATTCAGTCAACTTCCTTAATCTGAAAATACTTTTGAAATATCCCAAAATTAACTTAAAAATACCAGAAAATTAACATCACCCCAGTTAAATCGGGATAGGATACATTTATAGAGTTTATAGACGTGTAGTTTTAGGCTTTTGTTGAATATTTATGCGAAAGTACGCATGCGTAAAATTTAACTTTTTTTGTTGTACAGCAACCCGGATGTGCCAAAATAAACCGAGAGCGATTTTGTTTTGTTTTTCTTACATATTTAAAGTTTCACAATACTAAATTATAATTTATGGTAATTTAATTATTTAATATTTTAGCCAAAGCATCAAGTTTTCTTTGACACTTTATAAGTGGTGAAAAATAAGTAAAACAATTAAAAATATAATTTTTTTTAATAGAACTATATACATTTTTAGATTTAAAATGGATACATGAAAATATATTAGTTTAATAATGTAGTTTATGTATTACCAGTGTAGGTATGCAGATTGTTTTTATTTCTGTGTCAGACTCCATTTAGAGTTGGAATAATTAAAGAATAAAAATAAACAAACGAATGTTGAACTTTTACAATAATGATAATTATACTACTTTTTATCCCATTTATGAACAGAGATTCTGAAATTTGTGTATACAAGAAACAATTGGTTTTATTTTATTGAAAATTGTAATTGTAGTTTTTTGTTTAATCATTACTAAGGAGTTGTTTTTTGCCTATTTATTATCCTTGTCTTTGGGTGTGGAGCTGCAGAAATCATTTCATTGGTAACCAAAGAGAATAGTCATTTGCATCTAAAATTACGTTTTTTTTAATTATTTTGATAAATAAATACAACTTTGATATGTTTTTACAGATAAATACAATGGAGAACAGCAAAGTGGAAAACTGCATCACAGAAACCATCGATAATACCGCTCACTTGGACTGTAATCTGAACTCTGATAAAGAAAACATGGAGGACACAGTGGAGTTCAGACTCATGATGGCTTATGCTCAGAGGCGGCGGCCAGCGAACGACAACACACCCAAAGAAAACGGCTCAGCCACAGAACAAACGCTGACTCAGACATCTGGACAGACTGAAAACAAGAAGGAAGAGGTAGAGAAGGAGAAGAAGAAGAAAAAGAAGATATGGAGGCAACTGAAAGTGATTTTCAAGTGTGTTCAGCCTCAGACAGCGGAGCCAGAATCGCCACAGGACGACCCCATGTTCCGAAACTTTGTTCCTGAAGACAAAGAATCTGAGCATCAAGGTAAAACTCCTTGTTGAATAATTCAGATTTAATTTGTGCAGAAAAAAAAATCTGAAAACATCTGAAGAGGCTTTTATGGTGGAAAAGGTAGAAAAAACATGTTTTTGTTCAGATCAGGAACAAATAACGTAAAAATACCCAACAAACAGGAAATAAACTTGCACCTAAAATCAACTTCATTATGTTACAATTAATAAGCACAAATAAAAACATATGTAACATTTACAATTAAGCTTGTAGCTTAATTACTTGTAAATTATGACATGAATATTGGAATTTAGCTACAAGCTTAATAAATTTGTCCATTTGTTTATAGAGACAAATTAATAATTATAAGGCGGAGGTAAATTATTTGCTGTTGTTGTTATTAAACAAAATAGTGAAATGATTTTTTAATATTGATGTCAAATACAGTAACTCAAATTCTGAGGTAATAATTGAGTTTCAATATTATTTGAAATGTTTAAACACATTTGTTAAACACGTCTGGTGAAGATGTGGAATAAATCTTTAAATAAATTAATCTTTTATTGCAGAAGTAGATTGCATTAAGTATTTATATTATTCTAACATTTAATTTTAATATAATTTATTCAGCAGAGAAGAAAAAATGTCATATTTTACACTGACTGTTTTGTTTTTTGGAAATTCTATTATATTTGATTCCACTTATGAAAGTGGATTTAAGAAGTTTACAAACTTTGTTTACCAGTTTTATCAGGTTACAACCATGAAACAGTTCCTTGGATGTTTTACCCTTTTAGAAATCATTCATTACCAATTTGACTTTCAACAAAACAAAAACACTGATTTCAACAAAATTAATATTCATGTTGTCACTTAATTTGTGAACTATATTTGTTGTTCGTAGAAATAGTTTCACTTAACATTGAAGTGTTTTTTTGGTCAAAAAGTCATTTTGTTGATCCTGATTGATTTTCTGAAAGCAATGAAAGAGTCAAACATCCAAAAGGATGGAAAATTTTCACAATCACTGCAAGTGTGGTAGAAAATGGCTCTGATTATAATTGGACGATTATAATCAAATTAAAGTTTGAAATTTTATTGGAGTGTTTACTGAGTGTGCCATAAATGAAACCTTAAATCGGACGCTTTGTCAAAATTTTAGACTGAAATAATTTTACAAAATAAAGTGAGCAGCAAAGGAAATGACCCATTTGATGTAAAGTTGCAGCTTGTTTTCACTTCAACCTGATAATTTGTTTCTTTCAGCTGAAGCTCAGGATGAGATGGAGGAAGTGGCGAACCGAGTGATCGGGATTGCCGATGAATTTGATTTTACGCCCGACATGGATCCGTGCATCGAGGCCGATGGCAAGTCTCTGGTTTCTAGTTTGAGCCCTAAAATGTTGTTCTTTTGAATTAGAAAAAATAATTTCCTCTAAAATCTTTCGCAGGGGAAGATGATTTGGAGAAGATGATCGGTCTGCTCCTAAGGAACCAAGGCGACCAGCTGGACAAAGAGGTAAGGAAATTACAGTAAATTGAGTTTTTCCAGGAAGTCTGGCTGCACAAGACTAATGTTCAGCTTTGTTATTATGCGGTGGAGTTTCCAGTTGGACTCAACAATAAAACACTCAGACTCAGTCATTTATGACTCCTCCAGAGTTCATAGGTTGAGTCATTTTCAGTTTTATCAGAAGCTGGAAAAAAAGCCAATGAGAAAATATCAAATTATAAACAAAAAAGACCCTATTTTTTTCTAAAACATTATTTTAAAAAAAGTAAATAGTAACTGGAATTTGTCAGGTTTTATTGATTTTAGCTGACTGTGAAATTAAAATAAAGAAATGGCAGAACCATGAGACACAGAGGGCGTGGCCAGGTTTAGAGATGAGTGGAGGACTGAGCGGGGTATCATCAGAAGCATTGCTGCTTATTTATAAACTATATTTAGCAACTTTTTAAGAAACAAAAATCAACAATTGATAAATCTAGTTACTTTTTTCTGTGTTTGAAACTTTATGGAGACGACGCTCTAATTTTGGTACACATTTAAAATGGCTTCTTTTTTTTTTCCCCAAAAAAAACTAACCAGTTAATTTTTGTGTCCACCAACAGTTTGACCTGGCGCACATTGGTGCAGAACTGTTTTTAGACTACAACTTCTTCGCGAGGCTTCTCAACAGATTTCTGATCAGGATCGGCTTCAGGAGACCGGACTCTAACTCTTTAGGACCCCAAGCAGCCAACAGAACCCAAATTGCTGCCGCCTTAGAGGTGAGACCAACTTTTGGCAGCTTGTACCTTTTAGTGCCAGTATTTTGTCTCACGCAAATGTTTTCTTTTTTTTATCATCAGATAACAAGTCGTCTCGCCTCTGTCGAGGCATTGCCCAAAGTCAAGTTATATAAACATGGAGCTCGATATCTCCAGGAATATTATTCATTGTGGGCTCAAACGCAGGGCGGATACGTAAGTACATCCACACTTCCTGCTTTAAATACCCAGAAAAGGGGAAATACCATATTTGGGAATGACACAATTCCAGAGATGTAGGGGGCGCCATGTAATATTTACTGCAGTCTCTTTTTTTTGTTTTTGTTTCCATCATCAGCCATAAAACAATATATAGTCAACTAATTGAGTTTGTTGGTTTACTTCTCTTGGAAAGCTGCTATTTGCAATAAAAGCATAATTGCAAACGTAAAAAAATGGGTCTATATTTTAATTTTGTTCAACAATGTTTGTAAAATATTGTGTTCAGACAAATACAAAATAAAGTAAATTGAGTTCATAATGTTTTTAAATAAAACAAATTTGTTTCTGTTTATGATGGAAAATGCCCCCCCTTAGCTCTTTATTGCCATTACTTTTTAAGTCTATTATAGAAATAAAACAGATTATATAATGAATAAAACATTCATTATAAATAATACTTGATAATAATCTCCATTAATTACAGGAGAAATTAAAGAAGTAAGGATTATATAAAAAGCTATTTTACATAACTTAGAAAAAAGCATTTGTTATATATACACACGTCAAAATATCAGTGTCATATTTTTTTAAAGAAAATGTATTGAAAAATGGCAAAAACAAATGAAGTATACAGAAAAATACAACACAAAAATTAATATGTACAAATTGTTCTGAGAGCCTTTTAAGTGGTACAGTATGTTGTCAGCAATGACTGGAAATGAAGATTTCATGAGAAAAAACTGGTCAACATAGAAATTAGCGCCCTCTTTAGTTCTGGAGTGGTTCCATTTCCTCATGGCATCACTTCCTGTTTTCTGTTGCTAAACTCACTGAGTTCTTCTGAAACATGTTTGACCTTTCTCCAACAGGAGGCAGTGTTTCCTGATGAAGAGGAAGTTGACTGATTTGGAGGTTGATTATTCATTACAAGAACAACAACAAGAAAAAGGTGTTAAAATGGTGCGAAGAATAGAATCACTCAGGACCTTCATCCGTTTACAAGGAGCAGTTTTCTCTGCTTGGACCAAAGTTAAAGAGGAAATTATTTCACATTAATTTAATCTAGAGCACTTATTGTACAGACTACCATCAACAAAAATTAATTTATTTAATCTTATAAAACATTATGTCTCGTTAACGCACTTGCACTTTTTATAAAAAATAAAAAGAACGCTTTAAGTTTTTTTTATGTTAATGTTATTTTGTTACCAATAAGTGTATACATTAAATTATATTTTTGAATAAAAACATTTTGTGGCACTGTCAGTTTCCTTATTTCATGAAGATAATAAAAGAAAGTTTTTATATCTACAAAAATGCCAGTCGAACACACGGCCATAAAAAGGTTTTAACCACAGTTAGCATTTAATTACAGCTATGTTCAATTTAATATTATTTTGATAAATTTCCCCAATTATCTTGTACTGAGTATGAGAAGATAACTGAAAATCCTTCTCTGGAAAATCTTAAAGTTTACTTGTTCAAATTAATTCAAATGAGAACATAGTTTTATAAAATGAAGCATAAGTTGTGCTGGAAAAAAATGAATGCAACACAAAAATGGTTATTATTGGTACAACTTCTAACTGAAATATAACTGAAATTCACTGCAATATATTATTAAAACTCATTTCAAACCTAATTGATGTTGAGTGTAAAATCATTTTTTATACTCCATATATACATATATATATATATATATATAAACCTTTTCACTTTAACTTCTGTCTCTTGTGACTAATTATTTTCATGGCTAATGTACAGCAGCGCCGTCATGTGGTCAGAAAATGAACTGCAAGTATCCAAAGGTATTGATTTAACTGGTTTTTGATTTTCAAGAAATGAGAATTTGATCTTAGTTTAGACATGATTTGCTTAATTTAATATCAAGTACAGCATGTTTAAAGAGGGAACAGGATTAAACTTGGTCAATATAATTGTTTTTAAATATTAAAATGTTATTTTTTGTGTGTAATTTCAAAACAAATTTAAGAATTATGTTCATGTTTACTTCTTTTTACATATATGGATTTTGCACAGAAACGTGCCAATTAAAGTGATGCAAAAGTTGATTAAAAGTCTAGACTTATAAACAAAGTTTATGTGTGAATTCAGTCAAATTTGTTATTTTGTACTTGGAGGGGTTTTGGGATTTGTTTTTATTAATCATTTAACTTGGTATTTAAGTGACTTACATTTCTAACATATTTACAAAATATAATTTGATAATCTGATTTTCAATAAAAACTACAATTAAAAACTTAAAATTTTTAGGCTAACCTTCAGAATTCAAGTTCATTATATTTCAGGAACAGAAGCTCGTTTCAGGTGATCAAAGAAGGATCTACAAACACGTAAAAATCGCTTTAACTTTTAAACTTACATTAATATGAACTTTTTCTTTGTATTTCTTTAAGATTTTTCGTCTTTCTTTTCAAAAACATAAAACGACTTTTAAAACCAAAATAAGTCAGTCTGAATTATCTTTTGGAGGCTTAAATTTTTAATATGCAGTGTTGGTGATTTATAATGCCTTTATTTCTGGTTTTGTAAAAAAATAAAAATAAATAAAAATTTAAATTTGCATTTTAGTTGCAACAGAAACTCAATACAGCTTGAAACAGCGCCCTCGTGTGATGAGAATCGGAACTACAACGTGTCAAACTGCGTTTTTACATTAAAACTGATATTTATATTTAGCTTTTTTAATTACATACTATTTTGAAGAGTATTATTTTTAATTATCCGTAAGAGTATTGGCTTTACTTTACAAACTGTGTTTTGCAGGATAGAGAGCTACAAAATCAAACAAAAGCGTAATTACCAATTATTTTTGCCAGTCCTACTTTTTGCACGGACAGTGTCGCTAATGCAAGTTGGGTTTTATTACTTTGCAGAGTTTGTAAAGAATTTTAAATTTGCATTTTTCCAAGCGGAGCGTGTCATGCTGGCCGCTGTGGAGCCTGAAATGAGATCCAACCCGTTCTCCAGCAGACCGACCTGCTCTCTGTCAGCGGCAGGACGCGGCTCGGTGTCAGAGACCCGTCCGACCCGGCCGAGCATGAAGGGAGTAATGTTTAACCCCCCGCCTCGGATCCGTGAAAACGCCCCCACGGGTGACTCGGCAGCGGATCCGGTTCGCGTCAACACGTCCCTACTGAGCCCGACGACCTGCGAGGCTCCCTGCGAAACGACGTGGCCGCCGCCCGGAGCCAGGATGCGGATCTCCAAGGCCAACAAGGGCGCGGTGGTGGTGAGGGTGGTCCGGAGGCATTCCTCCCCGCAGTCGGCCAGCCTGGAGAAGGTCTGGAGTCCGAGAGAGGAGAAACCCCGCAGCCCCGACAGGAAGAAGCCGCCGGAAGCTGCTAGAAACGGGGTTGAAGGGCAAGGCGGGGGGCCACCCCGCAGCCGGAAGAGCCGGTTCCGGGCCCCCGACGTGAGGACCATCTTCTCCCCCGAAGAAAAGGACCCCAGAGTGAAGGAGGAGACCGGGGAGGGACACACCTTCCAGTCCGGAGGCGAGAACAACTGGTGCGATGTGTGCTGCAATTACATCCTCCAACACGGACTCACCTGTGCAGGTAAGACTGTGGAGGTCCAAACTCACTCATTAGAGACCAACACAAACCTCAATGACTTTGGATTTGAAGTAACAGGTAATCTAAAGGTAGCGCAGTTGTGAGTAAAACAAATATTACTTTTCTAAAAAAAAAAAAAAAAAATTACAAATAAATAAGAAGGGAACAAATCAAACATGAAACCCAGTGTAGAGCCAAATTTACCCTGTACAGAAACTAAAAATGTTTCCATCTTTCCTTAAAAACAGTTAAACTCAGATTGAATGGAGACCAAATGATGGTCTTGATTAAAAATCTTCACAGTGTCTCAAATCTTTAATAGTTTCTCAGATTCCTTCCTGACTCTCCCAGGTGATGAAAAGCCCCCACAGCAGGATGTTTCAACATAACACTGTTACTTTCTCACTATAGTGTGTTGAAATTAGGGCAGAAATGACATTTTTGGTCCCTTTTCCGTAATGTATTTTTGGTTTAGGGCAAAACAAACAGAACTACTTCTTTAGGGCTACCAAAGGCTTGGTTAACACTAGTCCTGTCTTGCATGGTATATAGACAGTCATGTCTTTGTAGATTTGATTTCATTAGATACTCGGCGATTGGGAATTTGTTTGATACCTGATGACATGACTGCTAGCTTAGCTTGGCGTTTGTAAAGACTGACTGTTCAGAAGTTGTAGTTATTCATAGGCAGGGTTCTGAAATGCTTAGTGTCAGGAATGTGGACAGTATGCAGGTGAACTAGTTCAGGGTAAAAAAAAAACTAGCCTGACTGACTCGTCTACAAACGTTGGACTTCCCTCTCTGTGATGTTATCTGACAAACAATAGGAGGAAGTTATGAAGAAGAAGTTTGCCATATTTTTTTATTTCGAAACTTGTATCACTTGGAGTTTGATGCTATGCCTTTTCCTCTCCTGCTTTTAGCTTCACTTTCAATATTATTTTTCATTAAAACAATAAAGAACCAAAAATATGTTCTTTGTAAACATAGACAAACAGAGCACCAGCTAACTAGCTTAAATGCTATAGCACAGTGGATTCCTGCATTTGAAGGGATGTCAATTGATTGAAAACACAAATACTTAAGTTCCCTCTAGAAATAGAGGGACTGCCTGTTTTAATAGTTCAAACATCAAATATACCTTCATATGCGACAATAAACAGTACAAATATGTCATAGCACGACCACATTAAGCTAACACCCAACTTCTTCCTTATGTTAGCTTATGTAGCTAGCCAATCAGAGTCAAGGAAAAAGAACGTTCCAATGAAAACTCCACAAACAGGCTGATGTCACTGCAATCAGTTTACTAGCTAAACAGAGGATGTAAGCCGATTATACAGGAGAAAGCCAGAAACACGCTTTCTGATTTCCTATGCTTTGAAATTGACTAATGTTAGCTAACAGGCTAGCAAGTCACAGCTAGGGTATAAAATGCTTTTCCTTTCCAAATAAATAAAATAGATGGACCACAATGATAAAAACCTTAGTTCAGTCCATTTTAACTGGCATATCAATGACCTTAATAAATAAATGGTTTTACCTCTTTTGTTGTGTGAAGCTAGCTTGTGCTATTTAGCTAAGTTGCTATATTTAGATTCAAATCCTATGCATTTATGTGTTTATATTTCTGAACTACTTTTGACAAACAAAAAGCTGTATTTTATTGATGTATAATTTATTGAATTTATTGTTGCCACAGCAACATATTATATGTAATGTGAAAGCAATAATTTCAGCTTCTGGCTTTTTAGATAAGGAAAGCTAGAGCTAGCTAGCTAACTAGCCGTTTATGATAGCCCTAAATCAAACATCTAACACTAGAATGTTTTATTCAAATATTTTTAATTCAGAAAAACTTAACATCCCCACTTTTTGCTTTATTGTGTTAGGAATTTGACTTTTTAATTTTAGCTAGTTTAAACTTTGCACACATTATTAATAATTATATGTTATTTTTACAGATAGAAAAGTTACAAAACACAATGTCCCAAAAATGTTTTTCTTTCTTTCTTTTTTCTGCTTAACCTCCAGCAAATCAAAGAAATGAATAAGTAACTCTAAGAATAAACATCAAAGGAAAATCTATGATTTTTGTCTTCACTGCTGATATTTACATTAGTCACTTATTCACTTATTATTACAAGAAACAGTCACTTATAAGCCAGCAAGAGAAGCAGTTTTCCTCAGTTGAACATTAATTTTTCCAGATGAACAAGTCTTCTTTGGATATTAAAATATTTAAAATTTTTACATCGTCTTTTTGCAGCACTGCAAAATCACATAATCTTACCAAGAAAATTTTGTCTAATTTCTAGTTTAAATATCATTTTACTCTTAAAATAAGACAAAACTAACATTCAAGTAACTTCAGCAAGAAATAGGAGCTTGTACTAAGTCAGTAATTCCTTCATAGAGGTTTAAATACTAGTTTCACTCACAGATTTTTTTTCCACCTGTAACAAAATATCTTCCATATTTTAAGTGAAAAACAGTCAGTGGAACTAAAACTTTTCAAAATCAATGTTAAGGAATAAAGAAGTTAGTTGTAAGTTAGTTTTGTCTTATGTTAAGTATACTAAGTAATTTATACACTTAAAATAAAATACTTGGTTCGATGTGTTTTTGGAGTGCAAATGACATTTTGTATGATATAGTAATGTATATTGCAGTTCTAAAAACTTTACATATCAAACTTTATTTTCCATGTTTTTCAAGTGATGAATTGAGTGTATTTGTTTAATAATTTGAGTTTTGGCCTGAGGACTGATGGTAGTTTCTCTCTCTCTGTGTATTTGGTTCTTGTTCTTTGTCTGTTTCTCAATGCAGTGCAGTAACAGAAACCTCCAAACAGAGCAGGGATCTTTGTTTGATTGGCTTTAATGTTGCATTAGAGCGTGTGTTCATTAGCCAACAGGCTGTTGGGAGGCATTTCTGCAGGAAACTGGAGCTTCGGCTCACTATGTACACTCTTATTTTCACAGAACGAGTCTCTTTAATGAGACAGTTATTTAATATAGAACTCTTATTGACAGCGTTAGTTTATATTTTGAGAATAAAATCTTAATATTCTGACTTTATTCTAAAAATATGATTTCATTTTTATATTATTACAACTTTATTCTCGTATAATTTTGACTTTATCATCATACGAATTTATTCTCTTAATATTATGACTTAATTCTCATTTTATTTTTTATTGTCTAAATAATACAAGAATAAAGTCTAAATATTTTAATGATGTAGTCTTGATGACATAGTCACAGTATTATGACTTTAGTCGTATGACTTTTTGACCTAATTATATTATTAAGACTTTCTTCCAGAAGTATTTTGACTTTATTGATGTATTATTTTATTCTTGTAATATTATTATTTTTTATTTTTGTTTTTGTATAGTTCTATACGCCACTGTAAAAACAAAAAATAGAATTAAGGAATAAAATAAAAAATCTACAGAATGTGGCCATTTTTTTTATCCAATTAATCATCCAAATATTCAACTGAATAATTGATTACTGAAATAATCATTGGTTGCAGATCTACAAATGGATTAAACTAATTCTTCAAACATCCATCCCAGCATCAAAGATGGAAAAACATAATCCTGACATGTATATAATTTTGACTTTATTGGAGGAAATCTGCAGTAAGTCCTCCCTCAGTGTAACGAAACTGAAGTTGGTTTTCTATTCGGGGAAATGGCTAAAGGTTGATTCCACCTAATTTTTCACAACCTTCCGTATCTTTAATCGACTCCAGTTAAAAACTACAACATAAAGACACTTCAAACCTGGACTGGATTATTCTGCTATTTAGCAGAATAATTAGAACCATGTTTGTGATTCCAAATCTCCAATTCCAAATCAGAAAAAGGTTTCATAAATCCTTTCTAAATATTCTGCTATTAGAGCAGAACAATAATCCAGTCCAGGTTTGAAGAGTCTGGGTGTTGCAGTTTTTAAATTAGAGTCAATTAAAGATGCAGACAGTAGTGAAAAATTTGGTGGAATTGCCCTTTAGTTATTTCACAAATCGGAAGCCAACTTCAGCTTCATCTCACATCGTTAAATCTCATTTTGAACCTCTGTGAGAAATACCGGAGCCTCTTCAGTCTAACCCGACTCCACCGGCTCTCAGTGGGCGTCTGTCAGCTGTCGGCGCTTTGTTTGTTCAGTGGCTCTGACAGTTTGGCCCCACGGACAGATAATGACCTGGTGGGTCACTGTGGAGGCCCGGCCGGCCGAGAAGCGTCTCAGGGAGGATGAATCTCCAGATCTGGGCGTCTCTGGACGGGAGTTATCGTAGGGGCTGATGGGGTTTGTTGAATACTTGGGGAGAAGGGTGAGGGGAATATCCCGGTTTTTCTGCCGCTTTCCAAAGGTGGCGCGGCGCTCAGTGGGTCTGGAAGTTGGTCCTCTTTGGAGAAAGTCAGGTGAGTTTCAACTGAGGAAAATCCTAAATATTTGTTATTATTGTCTTGGTCATAGTCGGTATGTTCGGTGTCCAAACTAAAGATATTTGGTTGAATTTTTACTTTTGGTAAAGAACTAGCTTGGCTCGCCGTCTGGACTTTCTCCCATTCACTTCAATTGTTTCCGGTGGAATTTCAACCGGGCCAATCAGAGAGCAGAAGTGACGTCGACTTCAGCCTGTAGTTTTAGCAACAGCAGTGGAGGAAGTGAATAAAGCTGTTTTGTTTCCAAATTAATCCCTTTTTGTTTGTTTGTTTCCTTTTTTCTCTCCTTCTTTCTCTGTTTCTTTCTTTCCTTGTTTCTTCCTGTTTTTCCTACTTTGCTTCTTTCTTTGTTTCTTTCTTTCTTTCTTCAAAAATTAGACCATGCAGAAAATCCTTTTTTGTGATTATTTTATTGATACTGTGAAATTAAAAGTAAATATTTGAAACATTTTCATCCTTGGATAGACGGAAACATTTTCTCTAAAAACATGTTTTATTCATTTTTCTGGCATAGAGATTTTTGTAATTCAACAGAAACAAAACAGGAACATTTTAATCTGATGTCATGCAGGACAGTGCAGAAAGAAACAGTCTATTTATGGAATATATGTAAATATGTGGTGCCTGAAAACCTTGCTCAAATTTGCAATTATTACATAATCTCTTGGATTCCCCGAAAGTAGGAAAAACAACGACCCATTTAAAAAACAACGTTTAACTGTAACATCAACTGGGATCATTTCTGAACTCCGTGTTCATGAGTGACTCTTCAAACCTTATCAAGGTTACAGTAAAAGATTAAATTTTCTCCAGTAGTTAAGCGTTTGGTCGGCTCCAGTTTTAGAGCCACTTTCCTCCATTTTGAGGTCAGTTTGAGGTCAGAAACGTCTCAGCAGGTAAATAAATGTTAGAGGAGCTGAAGCCTCTGTGTTGCTCTCTCTGCAAACACAGACTGAATTAGAGACGTGGTGCCGAAACAGAAAAAGTTTGACACGCGTCCAAAGAAAAACATCTCACCTGTCTGACTGGTTTGACCTCAGAGCAGATCCTTTCACAATAAGAGCTCATGTTTTACTGGAAACAGTCATGAGGAAAAGGTGATACTTTAACTACAACACAGTTTTTTATTAGATACTTCACAGATTGATAATAATATTACTAATAATACTTAATAATAGTATGATTTTAAATTAGAATTAATAAAAAATTGAGTTAAATAAACATAATGGAATGAAAATGAACAAAACCATATATCAGTAATAATCATAATAATGGCTTATTTATGATAAATGGTAAAATAGTACACAAAATTACATGTGAATTTCTGTAAAGTTACAATATGACGTATAAGCAAAATCAAAGAGCAAATATTAAAAGAAAGTAATAAAAATCCTTCATAGTTATTCATATTAATATTTATAGATGCATTTCCTTTAACTGTGTAATTAGTGTCCTAAAAAGCACAATATAAGTTTAATTTATTATTATTATTGATAATAATCTGTCATACATTATTATTTGTAATAACAATAATTGTGTTGTTAATTATTATTAAGGACACAAATGCAAGATTGTTTTTTCAAAGCTAGCAGAATATCAACATATTTTTGTGTACATTTGTCATAAAAACTCCTCTAATAATTATTAAAAACATACTACGCTAAGTCATTATATTCATGTAAATTCAGATCATATTTATGAATTTCTTTAAACTTTATGGCTATATTTAAATCAGGTGTTTTCTATTCTTTATAATATAATCCAAAGTCATGATTTACTTTTTTTTTAATTTGTAGAAATGGTGCGCCATTTGATTTAGACATAATATTGTAGGATTCTTTTGCAGTTCCGAAAAATTTTAAATTATTTCTTGTGTCTCAGTAAGCAGGTAAATTTCTGCCCATCTGTTGCCTAAATTCAAAACGTTCTATATTTAGTCTTCTAGATGTGAAAAAAGAAAAGGTCCAAGCTCATCCCTGTCAGGCTGATTGTATCTGATCGATTTGCAGCATCAAGGAAGCTTTTATCTGAGACAGCACTATGACTCCATAGAGCGAAGATGAGGGTGAGGAAGAGGAAGAGCGGAAAAGCAAAATGCTGCACTGGAACTGAATCATGCATTTTAAATCTGTGCAGCACTGTAGCATAATTAACATTTTTAGTATTAAAAACTATGACGCTACAGCAAAAACATGCAGGAACTGCTGCATATTTTTGCCCAAAGATTGAAAATGTTCTCATGCTGGAGATTATTTAAGATAATTCATGTTGCATGTTGAAGCTTTTTACAGATTCAACGTCCCCACTTTTTTCTCTCTGTGCAACATTAAATCAGACTAATCTTTTCCTTTTTTTGGGTCAGCTAGGTTTAACAAAGTTATTTCTCTTTGGTGAGAGCCAGAATACCGATCATGATTTATTTAAATAGTTTATCTTTACTATAAGCTCAAACGTTTACATCCAGTAAGGTTATTATGCCTTTGAGCAATGGTTGTTGATTAAATGAATAATTATTAAATTATTTTTAAAGTATTTATGAATAATGCATTATTAATTATTCATCTAATAATAACTTTATTAGATTAAAATGAGTTCCAATCGATTAAATACGTATTTTAGTGTTGTAGTTCGGCCGCCATCCAACAGAGGGCGCCGCTGGGCATCCTTAAGCGGAGCCGTTGATGCAGAAACAAAGATGGCGGCGAGTGCGCCTCTTGCTAGGAGAGACAGACGGTTCAAACAGAGCTCGGTGTGGGATGGAAGATGCTATTTATGTGATTTCCTTTGGCAATATAAGCACCTTACAAGTTCTTTAAATTGTTTTGAAATATAAACATTCGACAAGCTCCTTAAGTTTCGCATTAATAGCGCTTATTCAGCTGAGCTGCATGACGTAGCAGCGTCATCTTCTCTGCTGAGGGTGACAGATGAGCTACGAAGGTGAGGATGTGATGGAAAAAATATGACGCCAATAAGCGGTTCCTGTTTTTCATATTTTATAAATATCTCTAAGTTTAACAGTACAAGAAAACCTCAATTTTCTGTTTATTCTGTCAGTATTTAACACAAAATAACGCTGAAAATTAATTCAGATTTTAATATTGAGAGTAATTTAGTTCTTCATGTTATGGAAAACTCAGGTTTTTAAGAAAATGGCCGCTTGTCAATCAGTTGATCGATAAGATTAATCAACTTTAGATGAACTCAATGGATAACCTGCATCCCTAAAACCTAGTACGAAGGTGACAGGTCACATGGATGTTTTGCTTTATTGCTTTAAAGAAAAAAAACAATGCATAATGCAAATGGAAATTATTGGGCTTGTTTTAAAATGTCGTGATTAATTGATGTATTGCTTGGCAGGCCTAAATAGAGTTGAACATCTGACTTGGTTCTATTAGGAGGAATGGGGCAAAATTACAGCAAATTATTGTGAGGAGTTTCTGGGAGAAACTTGACTCAAGTTGTGCTTTTTAAAAGACAATATATGGAAAGACTTTTTTATTATTCTGGATCATAGTTTGTGTGTAGAGGGTTTTGTGTTTCCCACTGTGGATCACACAAGCACAGTGGGATCTGATGATCATCCACATGAACACCAGATCATGTGGATGATCTGATGTTGGGATGAATGGAAGCCGGGTTAGTCGGACGTGTTTTAGTTACAACAAACCGCGTAAGTGAGGAGAGAGCTGGTGGAGATGACTGAGTCAGCAGTGCTGTGTCCATCCGCTGCCTCCCTCCCATCACACTGTGGCCTCCATTTGACTGTTAAATCAGCCACTCAGCACAACAACACAGGGGAAGAATGGCAAATGCGCACATCTGAGGTCTGATCAGAGGCAGACAGACAGCAGAGCGAGGAGCCGAGCTTTCTGTTGAACAATGACGATGAGGTCTAACAGTGTTTAAGATGGGAGATGGGAGCAGCCATGTGCAAACTGTCGGATAAAGTTGGACAGCACATGAGGAAAAAGTCGACAGGTAGGATTGAGGGATTAACCAAGTGTTTATTTAACCTAAAACATCAGTTTATGCATGATGTAGTTAGTTGAAAAATTAAAAGAAATGTTTTTTTTATTATTCAATATAAATGTTATGACTTCATTTATTTTTTGCTGCAATTCAGCTACGTTTTTAAGTTTTGAATTAAATAAAACTATTCTTTACCACTGTCTTATTTTATTCTCTTGAATAAATATAATTTTTTTTTCACAGTTTTTGTTACAATTTGAGTTATTATTAATTACAATTGTCAATTAGCTTAAGTATATTTTTAAAGAGTACATAACTTGACTTTTCCCTTACAGTTCTTACTCTTCTTATTGTCTGAACAGTTTACAGATTAAACATAAAATATGACTTTAGAAAATATAATTGAAATGTCTATGATCTGTTTACTGCATTACTTTTGTTTATAACTAATTTAAGTGACTAAAATCAAAGAGCTTTTGAATTAAAAGGTGTTAAGTATTTATTGATTTTAGTGGAATTGTTGTAAAACTATAATCTGTATTTTTCACATTTATTCTCTCCCAGTATTTATTGTCTTCCATGTAACAAATATGAATATAATCTGTGAATCAATACTGCACTCAATTTCCCAGAATGCACTTGTTTTAAAACACAAAAACATTCAGAATCTTTGTCTTTCTCAATCATTTCTTCTATTCATGCTTATTTCCCCAAGTTATTTTATTGAAATCCTTCCTGTTTGTGCGTTATTATTAAAATGTTAGTGATCCTGATAAATTTTATGTTGAAATCTTTTCTTCTGAGTTTGCTAAACTCAGAATTTGCATGACGTTGGCTTTATTTGCAAATTGGGATCTACGAGTCCAACCGACGAGGCGTCAATATCAACGGAGGATTTGTATAAATGATATTGCTTCATGTATGTGAAGCTCACAAATAACCTCTTCCTCTTATTGTTTTGGCTCGCATGCTCTTTTAAGCTGATGCAGACTCATTTCTCTGCAGGTTGTAAATATGCTTGTCATGCTGAATGTCGGGAGAAAGTGTCACTCGACTGCCATCCTGCTGCGTCGCCTCTCAGTCAGGACCATCTGAACAACAACAACACGCCGCTGCATGTGAGTAAAAAATGAGCCGACTCTTGTTTACCTCAGCAGCTGTCTGTGTAAATGTCTTCATGGGTGTTTCTTTTCACATCTGCACTTTTGCTTGTAAATATGTATATAATTAATTGTACTTTTATTTCAAATCAGTTCCTCTAATTAGTCATATTTTAAAGGACTTTGCTGCAATTTCCTCCGTTCTATTTCTATTAACATTAATGGAAGCAAAAAACAATAATATTTTTGTTTTGAAACTATTTTCAAGTAATGTAACAATAATAGCTTTAGAATGCAAGAACACATTCTTAAAGATAAACTCTAAATTCTAATGAACATTTATCACTGAAACTGGAAGACAATTTAAATGTCCAAAATAAATAAACAAAACAGAAACAACAAATAAAATTAATTATGATTCCTCTATAAACAAAACTGTCTTTCGAAAAAGAGCTAGTTGAGACCAACGTACCAAACTAAAGAGTTTTGTCATCCAGTTTTGGGTAGAAAAAGAGAAAAGACGGAAATAGAAATTATTGAGTTCATCTTAATTTATTGTGCAATTAATTGATTTATTGTTTATTGCGAGAGACCCAATCAGCTGTCTCGAATACAGCAGTGAGATGCATTTTAAACTTTTACAGTGTGATTATTTCACATTATTTGCTTAATTTTTAGAAACTGGAATAAATTAAAAGAAAAAAAATATTAAAAGTAGAAAATGTGTTGATTAAGAAGCATCCAGATTACATTTCTCAAGAAGAAGTTTGGGTGCTGCAACTTTCAGGGCTTCAAGTTAGATTTGTACTTTAATTATTTATCAGATAAGAGGTCCAGACAGTCAAATAATGTTTAAACTGGAATGAAGCTGGTATAAATTCACTAAAATTGAACATTTTGTAGTAACCCGGGGTCACCACATGATGGTGCTGTAGTAAAACATTCCTCCTCTCGAGATTTTCACCTTTATCTTCTGCTTTAACAAGCAATACAGTCGTTACATATTTTACAGAAAAAAAAGATAATTTTACTAGATCAGTTAATATTTTCAAGGATTTTAAGTTTGCTCACCAACAAACACAGACAGTTTTTGAAACAGTTCAGCAGACTTAAAATTCAGAAGATGCAACCATCAGAAATTGTGTCGAACTTTTTCCAGTAAGTTTTAGTTTATTGTTTTGTTATTTCGGTCATGTTAGCAATAACTAAACCCTGCTTTAGCATTTCTGCAGCACATGTGCAGCAAATCAGGTTTTAAAGACATCGCCATCCATAGAGCTAACACAGCTGCCTGCAACCGCACTCCCTCACACAACAAAAGCATATTTTTATGAATGGACCACAATGCAGCTCTCAGCATTACTCAGCACGGTTATGAATGTGTTCTGGTTGGCAATGTGCTGAGATAATCCTGGTTCTGCAAGAGGAATAAAACCACATCAGCATTGAGCAGCAGCAGCGGAGCCAAAACCACAGCAGGCAGATCAACGGGTTTGATGTGTTGTAAACACAAAGGTGAAACTTTGGTTTCTAAAGTGATAAATTATGTCAGGACGAGGTAATGTGCAAACTATGAGACCTTTTAGAACCTAGTTTGATTTTAAATATATTTGTAAAAAAAATAGCACTTTAAAGAGACCCTTTAATTGCAGTTTTTAATAAAAAAATCCAGACTAGAAAAATAATGGAGGTAAATTTGGGTGACTGAAAACTGTAGTACAGTGGTCAAAGTAGACAAAAATTCTCATGTTTTGATGTTTAATTTGTGTATATGAAGATAAACTATGACTTGAATTGTATTCTGGTGTTTCTGTGTTGCACATCCTGCAACTGTTTCCTGAAAATAATCTCAGCTGTTTATATAAGAGCTCTGACACATAACATAACTGCTAAAGTTACTAAAATGAGCAAAATGTGGCTGTAATAGAATAGTGTGAGCAGCAAAACTACGCCATGATAAACCAGAAGGGATGCACGCCCAACTGTCCTTTAGGAATTAAACTCCATTCTTATCGTGTGATGCATCCTGGGTGTGTGAGTCAATTATTCTTATACAGAATATACTTCATAAGACACAGTTTTAAATTCAGCCAAGTTCTTTATTTTCCTCTTTGCTTTTTAATGTTCCTCCAGTATTTCCATATAAAAACTCAATAGCAGCAATTCTCATAAAAACCATCAAAAAGAGTGAATAGTAATTTAAAAAAGAACATATTTTATGTTACGTGTTTTACTTTAAATCAAGTTTTGATCACAAAGTTTGAAAGAGATGCACAAGGACTTTATGTTAGATGTTAAATATGAAACAGTCGAGGAGAAAAGACCAATTCTGGACCCCTTGAAAGTTTTGTTGGGTTTGCTCTTTCTTCTCCACCTCCTTTGCTCCGCCCGTTGCTTCATGTGACTTTTACCTAAACCCATTCAACCATCCATCCAACCAACAAATCAAACAACTAACCAAGTATTCCGAAAATACACTAACAAATTATCCAACTGACAATCCGACCAACTAACAAAATAGGTGTTCTGATGGTTGATTGGTTGGTCCAATCAACCGACTAAAAAAATATCCAAAAAGTCTTCCATCCATTCAACCAACACTCCAACAAAGTGACCAACCAAACACACACCTATATATATCTGAAGGATAAATAAAGCGGTTGTGTTCTCTACAGTATGTGAACATCTATCAACACTTGTGGATTTACATTTACATATATCCACACAGTGTCAGTTTACTGTAACTGCATGTATGAAAGTCATATCAGTGTTGCTGTATGCATGTTGAAAACTACAGTGTGACTCATATCACCCTTAAAAATCCATCTGCTATAATTTAATAAACATCCTCACAAGATCCATCAGTGCATCGGGCTAAAAATAATTCAGCTGCAAATAAATAAATAGAACTGCTGCAATAAACAACAAAGTCAGCCATTATGGAGAGATAGTTCAAAACGTTGACAATGATCCATAAAACCTTGTTAAGAGGAAATGTCTGCTTAATATAAACCACTAACTCACTAATAAAATTAAGTCAATTCAATCATCTGCCTTCAATGAGCAGCACAGGAAACCTGAACACAACAAATACTGAGAACATAAGAATACATAGATGATAACTCGTTTTAAATCCTGGAAATTATATTTATTGATATATTACATAAAGTCACGATCTAAAGCTGCAGCTCTTCTCCACTTTGGCTTGTCCCCCTAAAAATAGAGCATTCCTTTATTTGAGCTTGTTTATCAATTTAATAGATTTTTAAAAAGTAAACCTAATAAAAATATACTAAAACCTGTGAAAAAATATACATGTAACACTGTCAGATATTCCTCTCCTGCCATGCGATCAGTTTAAATGCTGGCAGATCCTGTAAATGATTGACAAGGAGCCAAAAGAGAGGATAAAATTAACTTCCTGTGAGCTGGGAAAGACAAACATAGAGAAACTAAACTCATCGCAGATGGAAAGAAACAACGAGAGTGAACAGAGGGCAATGTCCATGAGTTTTTTTAAAAAGTCTTTCATTTTGGGTGATTAATTTATCTGAGTCTGGAATTGATTAAAAAACCCTGGAGCTTCCAGGAAAACAACAAAAAACAGCACACAAAACTGTGTTGTTAAAAATGATATTAGCGGTTTGTACGATGTTAAACCTGCCAAAAACATCTGATAAAATACTGAAATAACCTGGCTGCTGTTGGGTTTCCTTTAGCATCTCATGAGACCTCACCCAGCTTTATGGCCTGTGTGCCAGGTTCTTGTCTTGTGGGAAAGAACCCAATGGTGGGAAAGTATTGTTGTGACGTAATCGATCACAACTTGGACAGCAGAGTATCTGTTAGTGCTGCTAATGTTTTTCTACTGATTAAGATTTTCTTGAAAATGGAGAATTCAAGTCTGCAAGTCAAGCTGTTGGTTCAAAATGAAAGAGATTGCTAAACTTTGCAAGCGTCAACTTACAAATCAACCACATTTATTGGTCAACTGGTGCCAAAACGCACTGCAAACATATGCATGGACAAATTCAAAAACATAAAAATACAAACCAAACAGAAAAATGCTGCAATCTCTGAAAATAAAAGGAAAAATCTACAATCAACACAAATGCACACAAAGAAATGCAGCATTTTGCAGCTCCAATTAGTTGTTGCAGCAATGGGTAACTAACCAGTCTAAAGATGGAAAGATGTCAGGTGATAGTTATGCAAGTTATATTTAATGCTTAACCTCAAATACAAGCTGCCTTGTTTACATTTATTTGAAAAATTTTCCAAACTTCCTACTGGGAATCTACAAACTCAGATCTTTTTCAGTTGTGTTTACCTTCTCAGGATAAAAGTCTAAACCAGATCTGTCAACTCAAAACTCCAACTCAGTATATTCTCCTTCACATGAATGGAAGAAGTATTTTCTTTCGTTTTTTGTTGGTGGTTCAGAGGAAAATGTAGATAGCCATCAGGGTGGGACTCTCCAGTGAACTGCTATCTGTGATGTTGCACAGCATTTGTTTGTTTATTTGTGCTTAACTCAGGTCCTTATCCTGTTGGATGATCTCTATCCAAGAAACCGACTGGATTGGATAAGAGTGCACTGTAAATGACCCACATTCAGCATTCATTCAGGCTTCTTTCACTGTGGTCCTGCTGTCAACAACATAAAGTGCTGAATGCACGCTTTCAGGCTTCAGACTAATGCAACAAGATGAAACCAAAAGGAAGATATTTAAATTCAGAGGCGTCAGTGTTTTATGATAAAGCGACCGAAGGGAAAAAACTAAACAGGTGTATTTTTTGATACGTTTTATTTTAAAAAGTTTAAATTCCTGATGAAGAGCGTTTAAAAGGATAATAAGAGTCAGAAATGTTTATCTTGGCACTAAATCACCCACAGTTGAGTCCGTGTGAGTTTGACTTAGAGTTTTGCTGATTTGGTGTTTCTGCACTGAGACTCCCTTCTGCTGTTTCACTTCAAACCTGCAGCTTTTCTTCATCAGAAATCAATGCTGAACAGA